ACTTTTGCAATTATTAAGAGCAGAAAATAAATTTATCTCATCTCTATGTTTTTGATTTATTCCGAATAATACTTAGCACCTTGCGTTACTCGGTCCATCCAACGAGCCCCCGGGTGCTAGGAATCGGCCCAAAGGCAACCATCCATTGGCAAACCAAACGGAAAGCATAGGAAGATAGAACTCCATAACTCGATAGGTACTTTTGTACTCAGATTATGTCGCAAGCAATCAAGATAAATATTATGAAAAATATGATATAACATCTGTAGCCCCCGACTCACTACTCAATGGAAGACCAATTGGTGTAGTGAGGCAGAGGAAAAGGAAAAATATCATATAAAGAATAAAATAAATGATGACTTAGCTTTGTAATATTCCCCTTGGTGATGGCAGAAGTGGCCAATGTGGGAACAAAGTCGTCCATCAATAACAATGAAGACACCAGTCGGCGGCGACGAAGGCGGTCGACGGTGAAAGCGAAGATGCCCACTAATGGCGGCATAATAGGTCAGCCGTGTAAGCGGAAACACCAGTCGACGGCAACGAAGGTGAGCCAACGGTGAGGACGTAGACATCCAACAACGGCGGCATAATAGGCCAGCCGTGTAGGCGGAGGCACCACTCGGCGGCGACGGAGGCAGGCCGGCGGTGAAGTCGTAGACGCCCAACAGCGGCGGCATAATAGGCCAGCTGTGTAGGCGGAGGCACCAGTCGGCGGCGACGGAGGCAGGCCGGCGGTGAAGTCGTAGACGCCCATGAACGGTGGTGTGACCAACCAACCGTATAGGCGAGGACACCAGTCGGCGGCGACGGAGGCAGGCCGGCGGTGAAGTCGTAGACGCCCAACAGCGGTGGCATAATAGGCCAGCCGTGTAGGCAGAAACACCAGTCGGCGGCGACGGAGGCAGGCCGGCGGTGAAGTCGTAGACGCCCATGAACGGTGGTGTGACCAACCAACCGTATAGGCGAGGACACCAGTCGGCGGCGACGGAGGCAGGCCGGCGGTGAAGTCGTAGACGCCCATGAACGGTGGTGTGACCAACCAACCGTATAGGCGAGGACACCAGTCGGCGGCGACGGAGGCAGGCCGGCGATGAAGTCGTAGACGCCCAACAGCGGTGGCATAATAGGCCAGCCGTGTAGGCGGAGGCACCACTCGGCGGCGACGGAGGCAAGCCGGCGGTGAAGTCGTAGACGCCCATGAACGGTGGTGTGACCAACCAACCGTATAGGCGGGGACACCAGTCGGCGGCGACGGAGGCAGGCCGGTGGTGAAGTCGTTGTTGCTATCAGCAATGGCGGTGGCGAGGACAAGCCGGCGGAGTGGACTCGCGGCCGATCGACCGGAAAGCTGAGACGCCTCGAGTCCATGACCAGCATCAATCGCCTCAATAGTGCCGCGTAGTTATATGCGAACAACAACAAAAAAATAGCAAGAAATTAATCTGAGATTAGAAATCAATCTAATATATATTGATAACAAATTGAAACGAAAAACTCAAGTCGAGCAGTGAGGCTGGATCATGAGTGATAGCCGGCGACGTGCCATGCAACATGTATAAGCCCCGGCAACTAACAGCTAACTCGATGTTCTTTCGGCATGATGCCATCATCGGAGGTAGCCGGCGGAGCCCATCAACCATCATACATGCAAACAGGAATCGAATCCTGGCGGCCTGTGCCACTCCTGCAACACGTCCATCTGCAAGGAAAGGAAGAGAGGAGCACTCGGACACGGCAAGGGCACCCAAGTAGGCGACGATGATGGCCGTGTTTCGATCTCATCCAGTATATGAAATTCGTCAAAATATCAGGAAATCAAACAATGATTAAAAATTAATCTAATAGAGATTAAATTGGAACGGTAGACCCGATTGAAGATTTAGATTTGAGCCATCGAAATTGATGAGATTGATCTCGGGGTTTCTTCTGAAGTTGATTCCATCGCACTTTTCGACAGGTAATTCGACGCACCCCCTACCTGGCGCGCCAACTGTCGAAACATGAATTCGGCAATAATAAAACGGGGTAGCGCACGAGACCTAAAAGTGGATGGATGTGGAGACAAAGGATTTAGACAGGTTCAGGCCCTCTCAATGAGAGGTAATACCCTACTCCTGTTTGGGGATTTGAATCTGCCGGGTGTGTATTGATCTGACGATCAGGTTGTCTCCTGCCCCTAGAGGGGCTCCCTGCCCTCCTTATATAGGTTGGGGGGCAGGGTTACAAGATAGAAACCTTAACCAATACGGTATCGGTTTCCTAAATCTACTTTACAATCTTATCAAACCAGGACTTTAGGCCGTTCCATAATATTCAGGGAAACGTAATACCCAAGTCATGATCTGTTACATATTTCATATATATATAAGTTATCCCCTATAACTAGTCGGATAACCATACCGTGTGGGTATGGGGTACCCATAATCTCCACACATAGGAACTTATGAAGATTTTGGCAAACGTTTGGAACAGATTATTCTGCGAATTATTGTCGCAGTGAAGAAAAAAGTTTACTACTGTAGGCTGAGAGAGATGGATCTGCTTCTAACCACCATCAGTGAGAATTAATGTGGGACACAGAAGAAGTGACTGGATGTCTGGATCAAAGGAGTTTTTGCCTTTGTGACTTTGATCTGCTTGTGGGCTCTAAATTATGTTACATGACTCTCCGTAGTTAAATGATCTTATTTTCTTTCTTTCTTTCTTATTTCAGTTTTGTCTACTGTAATTTCTCTTACGCAATTTTCGCTTACGATTGTAAAATTATAGTCACGAGAAAGTAGTTTTGACATAAATTTGACAATATCAATTTTATGGCAAAACATAAATATTACTTCCTCCGTTTCACAATGACTTTCACAATGTAAGTCATTCTAGCATTTTCTATATTAATATTGATGTTAATGAATCTAGATATTCTATATTCTATATTCATATTGATGTTAATGTGGGAAATGCTAGGATGATTTACATTGTGAAACGGAGGGAGTACTATGTGCGTTGTAAAATATAATAATTTCTGGTTATATATTTGGACAAGGGTTTATCTAAATTATGGTACTATATTTTAAAACGAATATAGTATTAAATAAATCATTAACTAAAATGTAAAATTAAACGGTCAGAATACGCATAATATTTTGAGCGGGGAGAGTATAGAATATAGAGTCACTCAATTTAACTACAAGTGTACTCTTTATCCAATTTGACAGTAACATAGATATAACTCATAAATAACAAATAAATGAGTGAAATGCTAAATGGCATTCGATAGATTAATTATTGGGCCAAAATCTTACAGATTCATGCTCTGGTATTAGCTTTTTCTCCGGGTCCGCCGGCTCCAATGACACCGACAAAGGTGGTGGAGTTAGGGATGTAGGATCCCGGGTTGGGTTAGAGATTGGGGGAGGTGGGGGCGAGGAAAGAGCGGGAGAGAGCCAATCCAGTTCCAACAATGCACTTCTCGAACCGAGAAAGTCAAGCTTAGATGGATAGCCATGGGTGGCGGTGGGCAGTGGATATGGGCGAGCGATGAGCCACAAGCGGCTGCGTTGAAGCCGTAAGGATGGAGGAGGGAGGTGATCCAGCGTTGGTAGCAGGGACAAAGCAAGCTTGTGGTTAGAAGGCTAGACAGCGAGAGGAAGGGGATCGAGCGAATGAGCAATCCCATAGTGGCTGGGAGTGAGGAGGGAGGGGTGATATGGTTTAGATTGTGTTACACGAATCTTACAATAATCATACGGTCCAAAACTCGCATGTTTTCTGAGGGGGTTTTATGTCAAATGCTTGATGGACAGTCCAAATAAAAATAAGGAATATTAAATAACCATCCTAAATGTCACCCAAAATTTGAGATTTTCCTTGTAAAGAAGTTTTGTTGCCAATATCCCCCCTCCCACCCCTCCTAATTCATGGTTTGATATTCCTTCCCAAATTACCGATGTTCGCGTGTTGAGTGTCATGAGTAGGGATGAAAACGATACGAAAATGGACGAAAACCACCTTTATTGTTTTTGTTTTCATATTTTTTTTGGAATCAAAAACCTCGAATACGAAAACGAAATCAAATATTGTCGAAACCGAAAACGGACCGGCAATGATACAGTAACGAAAATTTATCGAAATACAAAAACCCCTCAAACTAAGTTTTAAACTATGTCAAATCCAATTCTCAAGTCTCAAATTTCAACATTACATCTCAAAACACAATTATGTCAAGTTCAATTCTCAAGTTTGAATTGGGTGTATTGGGTTGGGCTAAATTGAGTGACTTAGGAATTACGATGCTGAATTGGGTTGGGCTGGGGAGGAATTATAGACTATGGTAAGGGCCTTCATAATTCTGGAAATTCCGAGAAAATTTCTGGAAAATTTCCGACCGATTCCGAGTTCCGACGGAAACTGCCCTTATGGTATTCGATTCTATTTCTAAGAAAATATTTCCGAATTCGATTCCGTTTCCGAAAAATTCCGACCGACAGATTCCGTTTACATCCCTAGTCATGAGTGGGAATGCCATGACCGTATTACGTAGGCCCGGTGATATCAAATAAAGGTGAATTAATTAGGAGGGAGTATTTACATCCAATCATTTTATAGGGTGGAATCTCAACCTTACAGCGATATTTACGATGGTATTTTACAATTTTCCCATAAATTAATGTAAATTGCACATATGCACCCACTTGCATGCCTAATCATGCGGAAGGGAAAACTAAAATTAAACGTCCACGTTTTTCCCAGTGTGGTACTCTCTTCGTCCAAAAGTCAAGACCTATTTTGTTTTTTTGTTTTTTTTTTCAAAAGTCTAAGACTCATTTATAGGACTAAACTAAAATGATTGGAATCCAAGAAGCTATCTTAATCCTTGTTAGTTACATGCATGTGTATAGTTTATTAATTTTGTCACATGATTAATGATTTAATTTTGTCAAAAGAAATACTCCATATGGAGGGAGCGAGTACTAATAACCAGTAGCGCACACGAGGAAGCTAATTAACCTGACGCCACCACCTCTCTTTCCCTCTCTCTCTTCCATTCACCGACAATCTAACTAAAAATGAATCCGATGGCCCCGATGCTGCCGGCGCCGGCGCCCATGGCGGCGGGGCCGACGGAGCCGGTGGTGGTGGTTGGCCCGCAGTACTGCGCGCCGTACGTGGTGCCGCTGACGGTGACCAAGAAGTCCATCAGCCTCACCGACGGCGACTTCACCGTCACCGACGCCAACGACAACGTCGTCCTCAACGTCAAGGGCACCCTCTTCAGCGTCCGCCACCGCCGCGTCCTCCACGACGCCGTCGGCCAACCACTCCTCTCCATGCAAGAGAAGGTAATTAATTAAGTATTTCTTTCTTTTTTTCTTTTGATTTGTCTAGACCTAGTAGACTTGATCGGGGATTCAGGAGGGGAATCCAAGAAATCAAGTACTCGAGGGAATCCAAGAAATCCAAGGAGTAGTATTTTCAAGTACACCAACAGCTAGAGAGAGGATTTCGTCTTGATCTGATTTCGTGTTTTTTTTAATATGTTAATCACATGGTCAACGCGTTTCATGGAGATTGATTGGATGAGAAGGTTTTTATATTCCTTGAATTTTTTCTTCTTCCTTTTGAGAATGATACAAAGGTGGTCAAATTCGCTGAGAAGAGAGAGCTCGTGGAAATTAGGATCGAATTAATTAGAATTTCGTGTCTTCGTAAAGGCGCCTGGATTATGGATCGTTTGGCAATCGATGCCGTCTTGGTGAACTGAATCTTTCTTTCTGCCTAATTAATCACTGTCACAATTTCAATTGGAACGTTGACTATTTTCGTGATTCTTGTGATCTTGACCTGTTCTTTAGATGTTGAAATCCACACAAGGCATTCAATTCTTGCACATTTTTAGTATTTTACAAAAGCAAACATTTCAGCAAGTTGAGAATGATCCCCAATTGAATATCCACCTAAGAACAGCAAAATTTTCAGATACTTAGCATGCACAACAGATGGGAAGTATACAGAGGGGACAGCGCACATTCGTGCGATAAGCTCTTCACCGTGAAGAAGTCCTCAATGCTCCAGTTGATGAAGACGGAGATGGATATCTTCTTGGCCGGGAATACCGCGGAGCAAGTCTGCGATTTCAAGATCAAGGGCAGCTACTGTGACAGATCATCTGCCTTCTACCTTGGCAAATCAAACACAATCATAGCTCAAGTAAGTTTACTGCCTATGTCTCTCATCACATTGTGGAGGTTCAGAACAAAACTTTAATAGATTTGTTATGCATGTCCTAATACCTGCAGATGAACCGTAAGCACACCGCTGCAAGTGTGGTGCTGGGGAGGGACGTATTCAGCATCACCGTGTTCCCGCAAGTCGACTACGTGTTCATCGCGGCTCTTGTTGCGATTCTGGATGATGTTCACAGGGACAGAAAGGAGTGATGAACTGGAAGCACTCTCATCCCAAGCACCCTTTTAAATTTCACTTTCATATCTGTCAAATTACCTCTGTTCTAGGTATTGCTATCTGGTTGAGGATGTGTGTAAATTTTTCTTTGAATTATGTTTATTTTCGCTGGTGTTCCATGATTTGTAATTACCTTCAAGATTGATCGATGTTGTATAACTGCTTACAGCAGTGAATGTTTTCTGTTTAAAGATCAGGTTGCAGAGCCAAGTGTTGCTGATCAAAATTCAGTTGAATATAGGCCATTTGCAGCATGGTTTCTGTAGGTCAATCATAATTAAATTGTGTAGAGGGGAAAAACAGGCATATGGTGGCGTTTCATTCCAAAAATTTAATCTGATTTGGGGTTTTATAATGCCAAATGATCTTATTTCAGTTATCTAAATAATGAAATGTGTTTGAAAGTGACATGGATATTATTTTCCCCAATCAGCTGCCCTGATCAGGAAAAACATGAGTATTGAAAAGTCTGACTTCTACTTTGTCTTTTTATTTTGTCTTTCCAATCATCAACAAATGGAAAAGCTTCCGACTTAAGCTTTTTCTTTCTATCACCTACTCCTTTGTCCCATTTTAATTGCAACCATGAGTTTCCGTGCTCAACTTTGATCATCCGTCTTATTTGAATTTTTTTTTATAATTAGTATTTTTATTTTTATAAGATTATAAAACATGAATAATACTTTATGTGTGACTTGTGTTCTCAAATTTTTACAAAAAAATTTAAATAAGACGGACGGTCAAAATTGGGCACGGAAAATTATGGCTGCACTTATATTGGGACGGAGGGAGTAAAAGTTTTGAGTGATCTTCCGGTACTTTCTACTGATAGTATTATATTGTCAGTAGAAATGATATGATCTATTCGTTATTAAAGATAAATTAGTAATTTATTAATATATTCATTAGGGGTAACTTTGTCATTTATATTTTTCTTCCCGGCTAGATAACTTTATTTTAGTTTATTTTTTTAGCTTTCAAGATAAGCCAACAAGCAAATGATGAGAAATCCTATTTTTTTAGCTTGAAGTTTCTTGTTTCCCTGTACTATACATTGATTGGTTTGATAATGTACAATGACAAGAAGTTCCTAAGATATACTAGACACATAAAAGAAGTTCAAAGAATATGCCCAAATGAAAGCAAAAATAATCATGTTCAAATCTCAGTTCTGTGTAAATTATGCACTCGATGTTTCATAAACTTCTTTGCAAAACCTGCAAACTTTTTCTTTTGCCCCTGAAATCCAGACTGGGAACTGCAAACCCTGCATCACCCTGACCACTCTAGCTTGCCTACCACAATTTCTCTCTCTCTCTCTCTCTCTCTCTCTCTCTCTCTCTGAAATAAACAGCTTAATTTCTCCTGGTTGTGCAGATAAACCGCAAGTTTAGCGATCTTTCAGACATGATATTCGTTGGGAGCAAGTTCAGTGTGACCGTGTTCCCGCATGTCGACTACGTTTTCGTCATGGCACTTGTTGTCATCTTGGATGAGATCGCGAGGGATATACGACGAGGAGCAGTGATCCAGATCAGCACGAGCCAGAGACCAGGCCGATCGACAAGGTGAAAAAGAGGGGAAAAAAAAGAACTCTGAAGATCAAAAGCTTCCTTGCAGGTGATCCTGCTGTAATTTTATCTGAACATGCATGGAAATTTTGCATCTAACTAAGTTCTGCATTCAGATGAAATTAGTTAGATATAGTAGTTAGATGCATGAAAGAATGATCACCCTGCTCTTGTGTGTCAATGGGCACACCAAATGTTGCATTTTGCTAATCCTTTTTCTGAACAACCATGTGTGGAAATCGATCGAAGCTTCTTTGAAGCTAGAGATTGACCAGAAATTCTAACCTGCTTGTACTGATTCTTAATGAATTCCCAAACATATTACTTTTGACTCTTTGATCAACACAACAGGGGAAAGTTTCAGATTTCAACAAGCCAAATATTCTTAAGATCTCATCGATCCATGTACATCAAGGTTCAAGTTTGTCCTATTAAAAAAAGTTTATGGACTTCTATATTATTAAAGTCTCTTTTTTTCCCCTGTGAGAGAGATCCACTACACTATGATAAGAATTGACTGCAATAGTATGGTTATATAGGGGAAGCATCTTCAGTAAATCATCGAGCTGTTGTTGGCACTCCTAATTAAGTGACTTCATCTGTTCAGGTATGAAACAACTCGAACAAAAAATAATTTATGGAGAACTATAAAAACAAATCACGATTCTATACATGATATTATGGAGTATTTGTTATCCATGTGGTTCCCAGATAATTAATTAAAACCCCACAGATTCACAAGGATGCACATCCAGTCATGGAAGACATGCATGTCCTGCAAAATAAACAACCTGAACTCATCATTATAATGATACCTGTCGCCCATGCAAGATCTGAACTCTGGAAAGGGATATATCCAACCTGAAACTTTAAATTTCCACCACTAAATATAACATAGGTGAGCACAATGATGGATATGATTAGATGTGAGGAGCTATCAGAGGTGCACATTTATTATGCCATCCAGAATAACATTGTGAAAAGTACTTTGGTCATTTGTTTCCTCTATTTTTTTTCCAATTTGGCAGAGTAATGTTATTATTTTCAAAGGTGCACATTGTTTGTATCTGCAGTTGATGATATTTTCTAACCTGCTAGTTCCTAATCTAGCTTAAGACATACTTCTTCAGAACTCCAGTGTGGATTTCTTTAAAACAAATGAAAACAACTTGTCTTTAACAACCATGGTTCTGACATATATCTGAAGGAAAATTCCAGCCCTGGACTTGATGTCATGTTCCACAATAAAACAAGTATTACCAAAGGTCATACATAAACAATCCACATAAATGTTGCAAATAGTAGGTGGTGTTAGCAAAAGTTAAGTGTCTGGACCTATGCGTGTGCTTATCAAATTGTCCTTTTCCTTTTTGAGAAACCACCATAACGCTAGAATTCTCTAAATGAAGGGAACATATTCCATGGAGACCATTGTGTGGGCTCTAAATTTGATCGTTTTGTTCAATTAACAAATATTTTTTCCTTAAAACAATAAATATTAATGTTTTTATTGCACATATAGGGAGCTCTTTTAGTCTTTACCAACCATGGATAGAGATTTAGTAATAAACATTATGACGCTTGATAGATTCTTGATCTTCTTGGTTTTTTTTTTTATTTTTTAAAGTTAGTTCTCAACCCATGTTAGAACCTCTTAATAGTTACTCCCTCCGTCCCATAAAAAGCCAACCTAGAATTGGATGGAATGTTTCCTAATCCAACGAATTTGGATAGGACTAGAAAACATCCCATCCAATACTAGGTTGGTTTTTTTTTGGATAGAGAGAGTATGGTTGTGCATATCCTGGATCCAGAGATCGGGAATTTGTATATGACATTAAAAAATATGTTCTTAGTTAATGAACTATCTAAATACATGAAAGACCTGTTTGGCAGGACTTCAGCACTAACTGCATCAAGAGCTGTAGCTCAATCAAATAGTTCAGCTTCACCTAAAAAAAATGAAGTGGATTAGAATGATAAAAAAAGAACTAGAGGGGTGTAGCACGGTTCAGGCCCATCCACAGTTTCACTCTAGGAGTCGAAGCTTTAGCAAATAGGACCGAAAAGTCCAAACGACTCTTATACAGAAACAATTATTCATCCCCCAAATTAACAACCAAACACTGCATGAAATCTACCAGAAACTCAGAAGAAGGAAAAGACTAATCCAACCTAGAAAATATGAAAAATTTCCAGCACAAACACCACACTATACTCTTGTGACAGCTACAAAAGTACACTTAATTAATTAATCAACAACCTTGATTTGATGAACAGTACCAATTCAATTTGATCACCAGTGAACTTTGCCCGCTCCGAAGCACGGCACGGCGCGCCGCGGCGGCGATCGCCGGACGACGACGACGTCGTCGACGGCCACGCCGCCGTCCTGCCCGAGCCAGCGCCGGCGATACGTCGTCTTCCCCGGCGACGGCGGCAGCCACCGCTGTCGCCGCCTGAAGCTCGTCAGCCAGCTCATCCATCCTCCCGACGACGCCCAAGAACACGACGACGACGACGTCGACAGCCTCCTCCTGCACTTCTTGGCCTTCGACGGCGGCGGCGGCTGATCGGAGTTGCACGACGACCACTGGTACGAGTACGACGGCGGCGGCGAGATCGGCGGCATGGCGTAGCCGCCGTCGGCGGCGGACGCCGGCACGACGGTGCTCTTGGGCGTGCCGGGCTTGGACTCCCAGACGAACGGCACGGTGCCGGCGGCGCCGAGGCTGTAGTACACCCGGAACGACGACGCCCCGCCCGCGGCGCCGCGATCCGCCGCCGCCGACGACGACGACATGATCCTCGAGCTCATCAGCAACTGCGGCTTCCCTCCTCCTCCTTCTCCCTTACCACCACTCGAGCTCATTAAGACACAGATTAATTCAGAGATATGATCACTGAGACAAATCAAACCAAACCAGAGACAAATTTTCAAGCCAATTAATTAAAGAGAGAGAGATTTGCAATTTGCAAAGGGAAAAGTGTATGCGTTTGCTAATTAGAAGGTACACTGCTCAAAATGAATTTGATGGAGCTAGCTGTTTGTGAAATTGTGATTGAGTGAGTGAGAGAGGTGTATATATATGGGAGCTTTGATTGAGATGGCTTTTTTTTTCTTTGTCAATGGTGGCAATTAGCTAGCTACCTAGCTAGTATCTAGCTTGAGGATGAAGAATGGTGGAGCACAAAGGTAGCTAGCTAGCTACTGATGATGTGTGTTGGCAATTAAGTTTTGAGCTTAAGTGATAATGACCATGATGATTTAATTAACAGTACAATGATGTAGTTTAAGTAGTACTAGTACTAGTACTAGCTATAGTGTGTACAAACTGCAAAGTTGTGTAGTAAAGAAGAAGATGGTGTGCATGCAAGTACTAGCTAGGTGCTGTGTTAGGTTGAAGATCAGGAGAAAAAAGGGGATGAGAATGAGATAGAAGGATGTGTTGGCAGCCTTGTGGAGGTAGCTTCTCTTGTGTTCATAACCGTTTTCTACGATATATTTAACTAGTGATTATCTGCTCATCTCTTTTATGAAAATCATGTTAATACGGAGTTAGAACATACTCCCTATACTCCCTCCAGTTTTTAATATATTGTACCACTGACTTTTTAAGATAAGTACGTTTTATCATTCATTTTATTAAAAATTATGTAATTATTATTTATTTTGTTATAACTTGATGTATCATTAAAGATTTTTTAAGCATTACTTATATTGTTTTATGTTAAAAATTGGATAAGGCGAATGATTAAATGTTTGTCTAAACAATGGTATATATTAAAAATAGAAATGAGTATATATTTAAGCACACCACAAAAAAAAAAGAAAGGATCTCATGACTGAAATATATCTTGTTTAATTAATTAACTTCCTTCATATTTGGTTGGAATAAATTGAAATATAAATCATCTTCTAAAAATACCTCCAAAGATCTCCCTTTTTCCAGAAATGAGAGCAAAGATCCTTGAAGTAGATAAATAATCCCTTTGTTTGCTAGTGTTACTCTGAGATCACATCAATATCTCTGAATTAAAATACTCAGCGCGATTAATTTGATAATTGCCTCCATGATTGTGTCATCTAACCTAGCTACAGAAAAGGCTGCAAAGTACTCTGCAACATGAAAAGAAAAATTAAATACAAGGACTACATTCACAAACGTATATCTAATCATAATCCTATATGCTTAACAAACTGCCTACCGGTGCGTGCGTATTTAATTACACATGTTTGTTTCCCCACGAAGAAAAGAATTTATGTACCCTGCAACACGATAGATGGATGAGAAAAAAGGCAGACACCGAATTGAACTCGTAACCACTTATCATTTCATAGATCAGCATCTTGCACACATTCATTGGTTCATGCAGATGAAATACCAGTACAAAAATCTAAGGTTGCTTTACTTTATGTTTCTTTGTTCTTCTTTAAGACCTTTTGCAAAAGCAGGTCTCTGCTGCAACAGTTTGATTATAGGGCATCTGAATTCAGAAGAATAATGTTTGGTTGCTTCGCATATATGCTGGTCACATGATCATATCTAGGCCTTTTAACTCACCAATTAAAACTGTTGAAAGGGTAGCAATTCAGTGATTCTGAGAGAAATTGCATGGTGTATGATTGACAGTAAGTTATTGCAGTGGTTACAGGGTCATTTCCCTGAACTTTCGAGCAATCGAACTGTGTTGAAAAGTTCAAAGAAATGTGTTGTTAGAAAGGCATGTGCAGTGCATGCATAGTGCTGTCAATAAAATTTCTTTTCGAAACATATCTATCAGTAATAAATTTACCAATATTGAAAATTGATTAAAATTTATCAATCAAACTGATACTTATAAAAGTATGTCGACAATGACGATAACTGAAACTACTCTTGGCATCACATGAAACATTCTATTGAGCTAATATAATGCAAGAACTGTTTTTTATTTTTTGAGAACGCGAAAAACTTTGCACTTCAACATATTAGAATAGTGCAAGAACTGTTGTTAAAGGTTTCAAATTGACCAGGTTTCATTAGCTTCATTTAAGAACAAAAAAGAGTTCAGCTAGTCCAAGTTTATGACTCTGCTTTTTCGGATCAGTCCAGCACAAAAATCAAAGCTATAATTAAGCTGGTGCAGTGTCATCCATCTCATCTCCCCTGAAACTTTCAGACAGTCATCAGGTCATTGATTTGTTCATAATGTCTCTGCTAATTAAGCACACACGTTAGCCACTTTTGTCAGTACTTATCTGTAGCCTTGTACGATTAGAATGTGACGGTGAATGTACATCTGACGATGGAAGTGAAGGTACAATGTGAGGACAAGAGAAAGTGTATGGATGTAATTGACCCAGCTCATGTGATTTTTAGTCAAACAAGCACAAAGATTTTTTGTCGTGGATTAGGTTAACTAACTTTTAGTACTTAGCTTGCAAGTTACTGTCTTCCTTTGGATTAAGACTTAGCTAAGCTTGCTGCAGATTCTAGGAACAATACTCCATTCGAGCGATGTGTATGACGAGTGTTTAATTTCTTCAAATAATTAATTATGCAGTACAATTTTGCAAACTCTAGAAAATCAATAAGGCATTGCCGTTCCAAATGTTACAAGAGTTGTAGAACAACAACTTTGTTCGGTCATAAATTAATGGTATCACATATAGTCGTATATATGGCACCATTAAATTATCTTTTTTTTAATCACGGGAGGTAAAATTATGATGATTATCACTGGCATGCTTTCTAAGCTCTCAAACAGAACGATTTTCAAAAGGAACACTTTTAAAATCAACCTTTTAACTTTCTAATATTTAATTTATTTGTTTATGCCCTTAAATAATTATCACAAACTCAGTTTCATCGATCACCCATCAGCTTTAAACAAAATATGCCATTAAATTTCTTTGAAATATATTGCGACTTATTTAATCGTTTCCTCTGTCTTGGTTAAATGTTTGGAAACAAAAGAACATCTGAAGAAAAAGAGGACCTCACACACAAATAAACCGACCTGCTATCTAATCATCTGCAGCAATCATCTAATCATGCTGTCACTTACAAATATGTGCATGCATGAATAAATCCCCATTGACGCTTGGAATCAACGGTTGTTAGGGCGTCCTTGTTGTGGCTGTTCAGGAAGCTAAGCTGCTGCAGGCAGACGATAAAAAGCAGTTTGCAGGTTTGATAGATTGCCGTCGTCCAGCCATCGCTGTACCGTAAAACACGTAGGCGACGGCCGATGCGACGCGTGAAAATGCTTCGTGCTGAATTATTCAGACGTGGGATAGTATCTATCTGTCATTAGCTCTGCATATATATGCAGTGAATTCAGACATGGATATGTCTGCAATTATAGGCTTTTTTTTCCGACTGCGGCTTATAAACCGACACACACGATATCCAAGTGAAAACGACGAAAAAAAAAGTAATAATTTGGTTTTAGGTTCAGAATGGATTACACTGTAATATTCATCGTCCCCGAATTGCTAAATATATTTCAGTAATATGTAGATCCACCAGTGGCGGATCCAGAAAATCGATTTGTTGGTGTCATAACGTGTCTATCGGTGTCATAGTATGCTAATTATACTTATATCATGGTGTTATAACATATGGATTAGCAGTTTTGTTACAGGTTTTACTGAAAGTCGTCGGTGCCTAACACTGTAGATCCGCCCCTGAGATCCACTGAAAATTAGTCAGTTTGGCATTGCCAATTAAGTTTGCAATAACTAAAAATTATCTTTCTGTCTTTCAACTGCCCTACACTTGTTCTTTAATGTAGTGCGTTTATATACAATTAACATGATACTATACACAATAGTGTTATACTCTTAGAATTAATAATCAAAATTTCTATTTCAGTTTAGATAACATAGATATTCCATTATAGTACTCTGTATGACATATTTCTGTTCCATACATCAGTGGACATCGTTAGAAGGGGATAGCGATTTGTCCCACAAAAGCTCGAGTTTTTTACTATTCATCTTCCCTATCTTAAAAAGGTCAATGATATGAACCATTTTTACTATCTTAAAAAAATATGAAAATCTATAGTTTTACCCTGTATATGCATATGCAGTGTGAATCTTAAGGTCTGGAATATTACCTACCAAATATTTGGTGCATGTGTGAATTATTTCCAATTAATAATGGTTGTATTTTTGGGGGCAGAAATAAGCTACAGACCAGCTATATTTTGATCCATCGATTTGGTGTGTGAGTCGTCGGTGTCTGTCGATCGAATTAGATCCTTGTCCTTATTATTGAACAAGTTAACATCGTTTTGGTAGGTGTGATTAAATTGATTAATGCATGCACCTCCTGGGGTGGCAACTGTGTGCTGCTGTTTGCCATTTCTGTTGTGGGGGAAGAACAGGTTGCCACCAAACCACTCAGTTCTCACACTGTGGGTCATGTACTAGAAGAGTACACGTGTGACACTGGAAAGTGGGCCCAGACTATTAGGCTAATTAACTTTGATGTCATGGGAGTTTGGTTTGGTAATGGTACTGGAGTACTATGAAATTGTTGCTAAAAAATACATTTATGTACTGCACGGTAGATGTGGAGAAATTGTTGCGAATAAATGTGGTTGGCTATAGCATACTCCCTCCATACTCGTAAAGGAAGTCGTTTTGGACAGCGACACGGTCTCCAAAACACAACTTTGACTTCTTGTTTCTATAAAAATATTTATTAAAAAGTGATATATATGTATACTTTTATGAAAATATTTTTCAAGACGAATCTATTCATATAATTTTTACATTTTCAAACTCAACAACTTGAGAGTTATTCATGATTTATATTCCCAAGGTTTGACTTAAATATTGTCATAAACGACTTTCTTTACGAGTACGGATGGAGTATTTGTGTCATCAGAGACTTAGGTTTGCGTTCGTTTCGTTTCAACTTCTCAGTTTTTTTCCGGATTATTTACCGAAATATTGAAAAAGATTATATTTGATTTGCTCTATGCTTCAAAAAATACATTTTTTAAAAAAAAATCTTCTACTGTATTGTTTATTAATGTTTAGACGAACAAATTATTTGTTAAACCTATCTATCAAAATATTTAATGTATCTCTATAATCAAAGTATATAATCCACAGTAGCATGTGGTATCTAGCAATCTACATAAAACGGGAAAGGGAGATGGGTAGGAATATGGCCCGGTTTGACACCAATTGTTTTCCATAAACGTGATAGTTAACATCATTATCTACTTCTTTCCTCAAACAAATTAATTTTGGTAGGTGTGATGAAATTTCAGGCAAGATGCTACATGTATGTGCTGGCATTAGTCATTTGTACCGGCTTGAATTCTAGAAGTAATGCACTTGGAAGAATATAGATTCATCTTAATTTAGAGATTTGGACACTGGTTGGGAAGTCATCAGACGCGAGAAACCTTATATCATTCTTTGCCAAGTATGTGGGCAGTTACGAAAAGCCCTAAATCGTACACGTGTGATATGTTGGCTAGTCCATTTCTGGCTTAAATGCCATTTGGAAATTGATTAATCCCTTATGTTTGTCATGGTCCCTTTTTATATTTAAATATTTAACCATATAAAAATAGTGTATTATGATATTATATTGTTATACATAGCTTTCCATCGTTTACCTTTTAGATTATAAGTTGTTGCTAGAATTTGATTATTAATTTAGGGTTGACTTTTAGGATTTTTATTTTTAAGTATTGTCTTTTAGATCATAAGGACATACATATATATAAATTTTACCCGCATGTTAATTTTTTTCGTTGCTGATATTATATTAGGCCAAACGATGGTGGTCTCAAGATGGGTCCTACACGTGGCCAATTAATTTTTTTCACAATGTTTATGAATCCACTAGTAAATAAGAAACGCTCAAAATAACTACATCAAGACCAACTAATGAGAGTGAGCTGGGAGACAACATATATATTGAAACAGTTTTAAATTAATCTACAATATTTGAGCTAGCTCACTCACAAGTCACAAGTCATCTTAGTATTATGTTTATGGGGCCGGATCCACATTATGGTTGCATGGTGCACACGGGACTTGGGCCATGTTTTATTAGGCTGAATCCGGGGGATCCTAATGGCCGATCGATCGCCTGGAGACGGGGTAGTGATCGATCCCCTCCCCCCTCCCTCCCACCACCCCTCCACCTGGTTTTCTTTTTTGGCACCTTATTACTTTTCTACTTTAGTAAATTTGTACACCTCAAGTTTACACATCTAAAGTTTAGACACCAAAAGTTTATAAGTCAAAAGTTTATATATCCGATTCAAATTTGAATTTGAATTTAAATATTTTTCTATATATAGTATTTCTATACATCTAAAGTTTATACACCTAAAGTTTATAGACCTAAAGTTTATATACCTAAAGTTTATAAGTCAAAAGTTTACATACCCGTTTTAAATTTGAATTTGAATTATATCCAATTCAAATTTGAATTTGAATTCAAATATTTTCTATATATATAGTATTTCTATACATCTAAAGTTTATACACCTAAAGTTTATAGACCCAAAGTTTAGAAGTCAAAAGTTTACATACCCGATTCAAATTTGAATTTGAATTCAAATTCAAATTTGAATTCAAATATTTTATATATATAGTATTTCTATACATCTAAAGTTTATACACCTAAAATTTATAGACCCAAAGTTTATAAGTAAAAAGTTTACATATTTGATTTAAATTTGAATTTGAATTCAAATTTTTTATATATAGTATTTCTATACATAAATTTTTCTAATTTTTTATTTTTTAAAAAAGTTTTGTGTGGTATACTATAGTAGGAAGAGAAGAAGGGGAGGAGGAAGGGGGGAGAGGAGGGAGGAGTGTATCGTATAGGGGAGGGGGCGGGCGGGTGATCGCTGGCGGACGGGAGAGCGATCACCCACCCATTAGCATTCTCGGCTGAATCCTACTCTCATTTTTCAACTTCTACTCTCATTTTTCACGCGCTAGCTTTTCTGAATTGCTAAACGATATGTTTTTTTAAAAAAAATTATATAAGAAAGTTGTTTTAAAATATTATATTAATATATTTTTCAAATCTTCTTGAACTAATATTTAATTAATCAGGTACGAATAAGTTGTTTTGTTTTACAAGTTTCGAGGAGTAGTATTTTTCTTTTTTTTTCTTTTTTTTTGTGAGAAGGGGCTTGGATGAGTATGTTGAGGTACGCCCGATATCACAGCTGCTAAAGTAATTATATCTTCTTTTTTAATAGATGACACCATTTACTTTGTTATCACATATTTGACTATTTATTTTATTAAAAAAATATGTAATTATAATTAATTATTAATTTTGTTGTGAGTTTTTCTACTTATACCTTATTGTCAGGGTTATGGATAAGGTATACCTTCTATCCTACGACTTATGGAATATACCGATAAGGTATACTTTCACGTACACGGATCGTCTTTATATATGTACGCCGTTAGGAATCCGTCCTAAGTTATGGAAAATATCTCTACGAATTAAGCGATAAGCGATTTCCAAAGTCTTACTTGGAGGGGATATGATTTCTGTTATACTGTATCAGATTATCAGATCAAATATTCTTAGATCTTTCTTAGGGGGTCAACATGATCCACGGTATTAAAGAGACCCCCAGGGAGGAGTGTAAGGCATCGAATTTCACCGCCAACACACCCATCATAGTTTACGATGCCGGAGTACGCGGAGCCAAGTCGCCAGGAGATCTCGTCAAGCTCATCGACTACGATCCCATCGGTACCATCTGTTTCGTCTACTTCCTTTGTAATCTGTTCTCATCATCATCAATCCCATATAAACTGGATTAAGGCTATTACCTGACAAGGGGTCTGAGCCAGTATAATCTTTATCTTTTGTCTACTTGATGTCATACTACGTAAACTCTCGTTCCAACGTACTCTAATACTCAACTCATCCGGTCCGCGAGTATCACTCGTCGACACTTATACATTTGCATAAACTTTCTAAATTAGACAAATAGTTAAACATGTGTTTGGAAGTTAACGGTGTTTTTTATCAGAAAAAAAGGAGGGTGCAATACGAATAAAACTTTTTGTCCCACAAGAAAACATTTCGATCAGGGCCGAAACCTCGTAAGCCCAACTTAACACGGCCCGGCCCATATATGGACAAGTGTCCTGCCCCCCGCATCCGCCAACGGCTCTTTCCCCTTTCCCCCAGACAGATTCCAACGGTCAAAATCAACGAGAGCGGAGCAAATCACACCACATCACATCACACCGGCGGAATGGCGGCGGCGGCGGCGGCCAATGGAAAGAGGAGGCCACGCAAGGCGGCGGCAGAGGCCGTGGACGGGCAGGAGGAAGCCTGCCGCGGAGGAGGAGGGGCGGCGGAGGCGGCCAAGGGTAAGAAGAGGCCACGCAAGGCGGCGGCGGCGGAGGAAGGCGGCCGCGGCGGAGGAGGAGGAGGGAGGTTCTTCTGCTGCTACCTGCTCCGGTCCCTCTGCCCGCGCCGCAAGGGCTCCACCTACATCGGGTACGACATCCGACGCGGCTCCTCGTCTCGTCTCGCGATTCCGCCGCCGCGGTTTTCTTCCTTCTTCTTCTTCTTGCGATTGACGTGGGATTGGATGGCTGGCATGGCAGGTTCACGGTGAACCCGCGGCGGCGGATCCGGCAGCACAACGGCGAGATCCGGTGCGGCGCGTGGCAGACCAAGCGCGGCCGCCCATGGGAGATGGTCCTCTGCATCTACGGCTTCCCCACCAACGTCGCCGCCCTCCAGGTAATCCAGCCAAAATCCGATCCAATCCAATCATTTGTCTTTTGGGGGAGATCAATCATGGAGATAGGTGTAGCTGTTCTTGTTCTTGTTCTTGTCTTTGCCAATGTTTTCTTGCTCAAATTAAAATCTTATGGTGTGATTTCAGTTCGAGTGGGCGTGGCAGCACCCGACGGAATCGCTGGCCGTGCGCAAGGCCGCCGCGAGCTTCAAGTCGCTCGGCGGCGTCGGCAGCAAGGTCAAGCTCGCCTACACCATGCTCAACCTCCCCTCCTGGGAGAAGTAAGTTTTCCTTACTTTGTTCTTCGCGATCATGGCTGTCTCTGAACTGAATGCAACCAAACTGTAGCTGAATGTTTTTTTGTTGTTGTTGTTGCTGAATATTGTGTTTGTTCAGTCTGAACCTGACGGTGAACTTCTTCTCCACCAAGAACACCAAGTTCGCCGCCGGCTGCCCGCCGCTGCCGGGCCACATGAAGACGGCCGTCTGCTCGCTGGAGGATCTCCAGTACTGCACCGATGGTGTTTCCTCTGAGGAGGATAACAACGTCGACGAGCCGCCTCCGAAGAAGAATCATCAAGAACCTGATGATGCGCATGCGCCTGCAAGAGACGAACTTTCAGTTTCAGAGCATGGTTTGGTTCAATTGCCTGAAGAAGAAATTAGAAATGCAGGCAATGAATCGGATTACGACGATTTCGCTCCGATCGATTGGAGTGTGTTTGGAGCAGCAGAAGCAAGAGGATTGGACGAATCATCGGAACATGATGAGTGGATGGGACAAGAAGACAACCCATTGTTTGAAGCACAACCATTGGAACATGAAACCAGAACTGCAGCCTCTGCAGTTAGTGATGCTGAATGTTCCACTGATGAGCTTGGTTACATGTCATGGAGTGGAATTCATGAGACGACAAGGGAATCGGACGGATCGGCAACATCGCCTCGATGTTCGTCGGGTTTGTCCAGTGATGATGAGGGTGGAAGAATACTAGACGGTGTGTCAGGACAGATTTCGTCTCCATTTCCATATGTTGGGAGGAGTTCATCGTCAGATGAGAGTGGCCCTGCTCCTCTCTTCCTTGAGAAAGATGTGATAAACTTGGTTACCCCAATTGCTCGTCGTCTTGGGAGAAAAGGAGGCGGCGAAATGGCTAGGATTGTTGATCTGACAAGCTCACCAATTGTCATCGAGTTGTAAACTTATAGTGTGTTGATAAATAATTATCCACGATGTGTGCGGAATGCCTGAATCTTGTAACAATAGAAACAGAAACACTCATTCTGTCAAATCATGGAATAAAAAGGTGAATGCGACGTCAATATACGATGCAAAAAGATTGAGCTATCTGAAAATGGTTCCCGTTTGATTTGAATGCCATTTGCTTGAAGGGTAACTAATAATCCAGGAACTGGACCACACAAAGAAACTTGTAATCAGTCTGATATCATCCTCCGTTTGACTCCTGCAACAGTCTTGATTAATCACTCCAGCCATGATCCATCCAACCTTCAGTAGAGGTGGTTTTTGTTCATCTGCTAAGCTTAATGCACATTTCATGAAAATAATTTATCTAGTGTAGAATTCAGTTTGAGCTAGCTTCAGCGTATGTATTCGTTGTCATAAATATAAGTGCTATTATCAATTCAGACTTTTTTTTAAGTCAATCAGGCATAACTTGACCACGCAGTTTTTTACATTAACATAAATCCATAATTAGACACATAATACAGTTAATACTTGATTACTGCATGTAGAGTATGTGAGGCTAAAGGTCAATCAGTTGGTAGTCTTGGTGTAATTTTCACAAATGTACCTTATCAGTTGAAGTCGCTGTCCGGCTGATTTGGAGCCACCTACTTTCACTTCAAGGATGCTAAGCTGTGCTGACAGCTGAATGCCAATGGGTAAGTAGGGAGGATTGACGGTAAGGAGAGGCAAAGACTATCTAATACTTCATCTATTCTAAAATATAATAATAACCTAGTACCGGATTAGATATAATCTCAAACTACGAACCTAAGTATATCCCATTTAGATTTATAGTAATAGGTTATATTAAATCCAATATTAGGTTGCTATATTTTAGGATGGGGAAGTAATAGTTTTTTTTTTTTTTGCCGGAATGACCAAAGGAGGTCATTCAATATAATTAAGATAGGGAGAAAAATGTTACAAGGAAAGTTTTACATCGACGGCTGGCTGTCGAGGAAGGATGTGCACCAGAGCACGCTCCAAACCATGTGCCAACCGACCAAACACACGCTACAGAGAGAGAAGCTAAGCATCGAACCGACCATCACTATGCTAGACCGATCGCCACCGGGCCAACAACACCACCATGACACGAAGACTCAAAAACGACGCCTTCACGAGGGTCGTAACGCCGAAAGACGCCGTCATCATCCGTCCAAAAAACTGGACTAGGTTTTCACCCAGAGCTCCTTGCCGCGGGAGGAGGGGTACCTCAACAATGCCCTCAGGAGAGTTACCACACCCGAAGGTGTAGTCACTTTTGTCCCAAAGAAATTGGGCTAAGCTCTCGCTCGGAACCCCTACCGCCGTGGTCCGTCGCCCAATCCGACCGAGGACACATGGCTTCCGCCACACCCGACCGACGCCCATCCGCCAGCCAGCATCCAATCCTGCCAACAACAAGACTGCCACCACACCGCACCGACGCCCCGCCGTCGGTCGACTTCATCAAACCACCATCGCTGAGAGCTGGCCCAGGACCCTTCCGTTCCACCACCCGCCGGCCTCTTCGCTAGATCTGGCCGAAGGAGAACACTGGACTAGGTGGCATTGCTTCGGCAGCCTGAGCTTCCCCCGCTGACAAGCTGGCCCCTCAATCCAGCCTAGAAACTCCCCGCAAAGAAGGGGAGGAGCTCTAGGAAGGGTGAGGGTGCCGACCGGCAACGAGAAAGACGACCCACCGCTGCCAGCTCCCTTTGCACTACCATCTGGGCCTGCGCCGACACCGGAAACGCGGCCGCCCTGGCTCCGGCGCCCGCTTTAAGGTCACCGTGACGGCTTCCCGGCTGCCGAGGCCTAGCCGCGCCAAAGGGCTGCACCGACCGCCGAGCGGCCAGGCAGCACAGCAGCGCACCGCCCCCGGGCAGCACCACCGCCAGCACCATGGGGTGGGCCACACCGCCGGGGCAGGCCACGCCCCCGAGCCGTCGCCGTCACCGCCGCTTCCAACCTCCGAGCCGCCTCCGCCGCCGCCCGGCTCGGCCGCACGCCGCCGCCACTCACCTCCAGGCCGGCCGCACGCCTTGCTGCCGCGCAAACGCCGCCGAGCCGCCACAAGCCGCGTCGCACCGCTGCTACGCCAGATCTATGCGAGGATGGCCGGATCCGGCCTAGGGGACTCCGGATCCGCTGCTTCCCACACCACCCTGGCGTCACCCATCGCCGGCCACGGCGCCTAGCCACTGCCACGCCAAGGAGGTATGCCGGCAGCCCTCTAGCTTGACGCCGGCACCAGCCAGCCACCACGACCGTCGCGGTCTCCCCTCCTCGCCAAACTGCATCCCTCCTCGCCGCAGGCGTCCCGACCTCGACGAGGCGCGCCAGCTCCAGCTCACCCCCCTCGCGGCCGCCGTCGTCCCCAGACTGGTCGTGGGTGCCGACCTCCGTGGCCTCCATGGAGAAGGGGTGAGGCCCCGCAGCCGCCGTCCTTGCAGCCGCACGGTTTCCGGCGGCTGCTCTAGCGGTGGTGAGGCGGGGGAGGAGGAGGTGTGGTGGGGTGGTGGGGGGGGGGGGGAAGAATCGCCTCCCGTGTCGCCCCTTGCCTTGGAGCGACGCGCAGGGAAGTAATAGTTAAGAGTAAGGAGGGAGACACCTAGAGCTAGTGGGCTAGTGGCGTGTGGAAGCATTGTTTGGTTCCAAGAATCAAACTATCCATAATGAGTTATTCATCGTGGTCATTGCGCTATTTTGAATTAGGAATGCTATACATCGGTACACCATCCGCCATCGCGACGGGATCGGCGCGATACCTACGAAGATCCCGTCGCCGTGCGCTCCCCTGCAAGGCACCGCAGTACGCATGCACCCTCCTCCACACGGGCGCAGACATGCAGAAGCCATTGTGTGATGCGCGGTGGAAATACTCCATCACGTGTACGTCCTTTGTATGGGGCCCATATGTACATGAATCAATCTGATTGCTAGTACTATTCAGGTGCATGCATAAGAATACTAAAATATTGTTACAGTAGCATAGTTACTAACCGACCAGGAGAGTCAAATACACACATTTATATTGGTCGTGCGTGTAGCATGGCAACATACTCCCTCCATCCCGAAAAAATGTCTAAGACTGGATATGACATATTTTAGTACAGTAAATCTGGACAGTGGTATCTCCAGATTTGTAGTACTATAATGTGTCACATCTAATACTAGGTTAGTTTTTTATGGGACGGAGAGAGTATGCAACAACATTGAGCCATATGTATTATGTTTAGGGTTACACACCAAAGCTAGGAGTCACTCAAACTCTTTACAATCGTCTACTAGCAAGACAAAAGAAAACCCGGTGGACAGAAATCCTGGTCGTGATACAATTGTTTGAAACACCTTCCTGTGTGCTACTATGTTCGCCGAACGACGAACCCATCTTGCATTACATTATGTGATTCCGCAAAGCAGGAACAGTAGTTTTTTTTTTAGAGCACACTGGTTGTACAAAATGCAGGAAAGTGAAAAACGTAGAAATTAAATGCAGCACATTTTAAATTCCTACATACTACACCTATAAGATATGCAGATTATACAGATGCGAGCTGTGGGATGGAAATCCTGCCGATTATTGGTCGAGATCCGTCGGCGTACCATCTGCAATAAGTCAAATTTAAATATAAAATCGCACTACATAGGTAGTAGTACATTTATAATGGAGAAAAGGAGTAATTAAGAAAACAAAAGAAAAAGGTGGCACACACAGTCAGTGGCGAAAAAGGAAAAATGATTGAAAAAAAATGGAGTTGTGCGCTTGTCACCTTTAGTTCGAGGCTAGCCCAATCGATGTTTGGTGAAACAGTAAGATTAGATATAATAATGTATATATTCCACAAGAATATATGCAGTGGTGAATCCATATTATGATGTCGGGCCGGTTGATCCCATAGCGTTTTCACAATCACCTTTGAGAATCTTTTGTTTTATTTTCCATATAAATCCATTCAAATTTGCATAAATGATCCCACTGAAATATTCAGTAATGATAATTGATCCAAGATATAAATTTTCTAGCTCCGCCACTGAAGATATGAACTTCCTCTTGCAACCGTTTTTTATTATTAAATAATTTGGATTGAAACTTTTATCTGGTTACCGGTTTTCCAAATGGATCACATTTTTTTTTCTTCAAAACTCTAGATGCGAGAGTGTGGCATCTCACCACTATTAGTTCAGTCTGCATTGGCAAGGAAGTTTCTCTAATCCAAACAGTTTTACATTCTAATGAAACAACCAAATGGAGACTAATAGAGTTCGATAAGAAAAGGAGGGCGAATAGACAAATATACACAAAAAGTAGTATATTTAACCAATCGTCTCTACTTATTAGCCTCGAAGCCAAGCATGCATTCTACCCACAAAGATGACGATCGTTTCAAATAACCACATGCCATTTTTGAAGAACTTTCACCATGATGTCATTTTGGAACCACATGTCAATTTGATCCAGTTAAAACTGCTCATTTGTGCTAAAAATCCCTCGGAGGTGTTTTGTTTTGTACTTCCTCCATATTTTAATGTATAACGCCGGTGACTTTTTGTCCAATGTTTGATTATTCGTCTTATTCAAAAAATTTATGTAATTATCATTTATTTTATTGTAATTTGATTCATAATCAAATGTTCTTTAAGCATGACATAAATATTTTCATATTTACACAAAAATTTTAAATAAAACGAATGGTCAAACGTTGGTCGAAAAGTCAACGACGTCATACATTAAAATATGGAGGGTACTGGCTGACATGTGGCCATGTCACGAATGGTTGACGATGATGAACACATAAAAGAAGAAGGGACATGTACGTCGGTCAATAGTGTAAAATCAAAGGAGTTTTTTATTACTATTCTGTGATGAACAATTGGGCATTGGAGATTATTGGTTTTGTTATTTGGAATTTATTCACGAAGTGGTTTTGGAGATGATTGGATTTCACAGGTGATCGCAGGTTTATTATTTCATGTGACCGGTCAGACTGGGCTCTGGTAGCCGGTCGGACCGGCGGTGATTGAGTGGTCGGACCGGCCAGCCCACGGTCTGACCGACCGACACTGTGTCGGTTTCGGTTTCGGGTTGTTTATTTGGATATCCGAGTTTATTTCATGATTATGACTTTTAGATGGATACTATACGTATGTAATACTATTATTTGCTGCTAATGAGTCAAGTTGGAGATAGCTTGGTCTCGGAATATGGTTTCTTTGTTTGTTCCATGTGTAGGTGACTCGATGTCTCGGGAGAGTATTTGCGGTGATGGACCGGGAGTCGACTTGGGGATAAGACGACGTCCGTGGTGGTCAGAGATCATGTGGGATACTAAGGCTAGAGTTGATGCACGTGGTTGATGGAGATTCCATATGGCATACGATGGAGTTATTGTGTGCATATGGGATGCGGAGTCGAATTTGGAAGGAGTCCAAATTTGGTACGATTGGTTATGTAAAGTTTCTTTCTTGTACTAGAGGGTTTCCTAAGGTGTTTAGGACTCCTAGTATGAGTATGGTTCGTGGCTTTAGGCTGCCTACCTCATGTATAAATAGAGGGGGAGCGTGAGGCTTCCCGGTATCGCTTTAGAGAGCAATTGAGTTGAGTTTTGAGTTAGGGTTTCGAGTTTAGTCAGAAATTTTTGTAAGGAGTGTTGTTGGTGCACTTTGTAAACACAGAGAGAATCAATAAAGTCGTCATCCACTTTAAGAGTTCTTCGATTTGTGTTTACCGGATTTCGGCGGTTTAACCGGCGATCTACCGATGGTCAGACCGGCGGGTACACGGTGGTCAGACCGGCAGCGGCGACAGGCGCGGCAGGCTGTTCGACCAATCGATCTACATCGGTCAGACCGACGTTCATCAGGTGGTCAGACCGGTGCAACTACTTCAGTCAGACCGCGATCCATCGATTTCGAGGATAACTTTTATTTCCGCTAAAAGTTTTCGGTTTTTGGGTATACCAACCATTCACCCCCCTCTGGTTGGCTTAGTTCTTGTGATTCGATCCTACAAGTGGTATCAGAGCCTTGTTTTCTTCTTTAGATTTTTATCGATATAGAGTTTTTGCCATGGCTACTCCCGCTAGGTTTTCAACTAAGCCTCATGTTTTCGATGGAACAGATTTTTCTCATTGGTGTAGTAGGATGCAATCTTACATTATGGCTGAAGATTATGATATTTGGAGAAAAGTTTCTAATGCTTATGTGATTCCTGAAGCTATTAATACTACTGCTGAAAAAACTGCTTTTGAACAAAATTGCAAAGCTCGTAACATTCTTTTGAGTGGTATTTCTCGTTCGGATTATGATCGTATTGCTCATCTTCAAACTGCTCATGAGATTTGGGTTGCTTTGAGTAATTTTCATCAAGGAACAAATAACATTAAAGAGCTTCGTCGAGATCTTTTCAAAAAGGAGTATATTAAATTTGAGATGAAACCTGAAGAAGCTTTGGATGACTATCTTTCTCGGTTTAATAAAATTTTGAGTGATCTTAGATCTGTTGATTCTTTTTATGATGCTAATTATCCACAATCTGAGATTTCTCGTCACTTTTTTAATGGTCTCGACATGTCTATTTGGGAGATGAAAGTTACATCTATTCAGGAGTCTGTTAACATGTCTACTTTGACTTTGGATTCACTTTATACAAAATTGAAAACACATGAGATGAATGTTCTTTCTCGAAAAGCTAATTCTAAGTCTAGTGCGTTGGTTTCTTCTTCTTCCTCTTTGGATGTTGATGCTTCTTCATCTAAGTCCTCTTTTCTTGCTGTTTTTAATGCCACATCCGATGATCAACTCGAACAAATCGAGGAGGAGGATTTGGCTTTGGTTGCTAACAGAATTGCTCGAGCTATGAATAATGCCAGGAACAGGAAAAGAGGTGGTCCAAATCGTTGCTTTGAATGTGGTTCAATTGATCATCTTCGTTCGCATTGTCCTAAGCTTGGGAGAGGCAAAAGAGAAGACAAAGATAGTGAGAAGACCAACAACAACAAGCCCAACAACAACAAGTCGAAGGGTTCTTACCAAGGGAGGAAGATGGAGAATCTTAGGAAGGCTTTTCAACAAGTTTGCGCCGTCTTCGAGCCACTAAGTGATATAGATGGTGAAAGTGGAGATGATGATAAGGGAAATAACGTCTCCGATGTTTGCTTCATGGCGCGTGGTAAATCTGATATAGAGTATGAAGATAATGAGGTGAGTGCTTTTGAGGAAGCTATTAATATTTTGAGTGCAAAAAATAAGAAGTGTGAGAAGATGTATAGAAAACAGGAATTTATCATTAAATCTCTTAAATTTGAAATTGATAGGTTAAAATCTCTTATTCCTAATGATGATGATTGTGAAAATTGTGAGGTTTTAATGAATGAGATTTCAAAAATTAGAGATGTTAATGCTGCACATGATTTGAAAAATAGATCTTCTCTTGCTTGTAGTTTTGTTTTGCATACACGCACTTTGGATGAGTTGTTTTTAACCAAAAAATTGTTGCAAAAATATCAAATTGCTTTTCATGCTAGTTTGATGTTTAACATGATTTCGGCTAAAAAGTTAAAACAACCTCATGATGTTTTGGATTGCTCAACATGTAATTTGAATAAGATGAAACTAAAAGATGCTTTAGGTCGTGTTGAGTACATGGAAGATATTGTGAAAAACAATGAAGTGCTTTCTTGCCCTAAATGTCGTAAAAGCAAAGGTGTCATGGTAGATTGTGAAAATTGTGCTAATTTGGAAAAAGAGATTTCTTACTTGAAAAATTCTTTGCTAAGATTTTCTGATGGTAAAAAGAACCTCAACATGATTTTGGATCAATCAAAGGTTAGCACACATAACCGTGGTTTAGGTTTTAATCCTTATGCTCATAATTCTAGACATCCTCCTGTTGTGTTAGGTGCTGGTGCTAGAAGTGGTGAGATTTTGGTTAAACCTGATACTAACAAAACTGTGTTTAAATCTGCTGGTATCATGTCTACTATGAGTGCATCTTCTTCAAAATCCAATGTTGTGCATGGAAAATCTCCTGTTGTTGCTTGTGTTGCTAAATCTTCTAATGCTATCAATGTGTCTAATCATCGTGAAAAATATACTTGTTCTTTTTGTGGCAAAGATGGACATATTGTTGGTTTTTGTTTCAGATTAGCTCGTAAACAGAAAAAGGAGAGAGAAATTGCTTTTGCAAAATCAAAGTGGCAAAAATCGGGTTTTCCCTCGAGGAAACCGGTCAAACCGCAGTGGGTCCCGCGGTCAGACCGGCTGAATACCCTCGGTCAGACCAGCCACTGTACCTCGATCAGACCGGCCTCAGAGGAATTTTTCTGAAAATTCTAAAATTGATTTTGCACGTGGATATATGCCTATTGGATCTTCTGGTCGTGTGTCTCAGTACTGGATTTCTAAATTTTTATTATCATCTAACCCCAGTACTGAGGGTTCGACTTCTGCTTGTGTGTAGGCTTTGGTGGCAAAGAAGGAGAACGTGTGGATCGTGGATTCCGGTTGTTCGCGGCATATGACCGGTGATAAAAATTGGTTCTCCTCCCTAAAGAAGGCATCCAAGACTGAATCGATTATCTTTGGTGATGCTGCTACAAGTGCCGTTCTCGCTACAGGTTTGGTTAAAGTAAATAAAAAATTTGAATTAAAGAATGTAGCTTTGGTTGAGGACTTAAAATACAATTTGCTTTCAGTTTCACAAATTGTTGATGAAAATTTTGAGGTTCACTTTAAGAAAACTGGAAGTAAAGTTTTTGATTCTTGTGGTGATTCTGTGTTGAATATTTCTCGCTATGGAAGAGTGTTTAAAGCTGATTTTGAAAATCCTGTTTCACCTGTGATAACATGTTTGGTTGCTAAGTTTGATAAACATGTGATGTTTTGGCATCGTAGACTTGGACATGTTGGTTTTGATTATCTCACTAGGTTAAGTGGTTTGGATCTTGTTCGTGGTTTGCCTAAACTTAAGAAAGATCTTGATTTGGTTTGTACACCGTGTCGTAATGCTAAGATGGTTTCTACTTCACATGCTCCTATTGTTTCTGTGATGACAGATGCACCGGGACAGCTATTACATATGGACACTGTTGGTCCAGCTAGAGTGCAATCTGTTGGAGGAAAGTGGTATGTGTTGGTTATTGTTGACGATTTTTCTCGATATTCTTGGGTTTTCTTTATGGCAACTAAGGACGAAGCTTTTCAACACTTTCGTGGTTTGTTTCTTCGATTGGATCTTGAATTTCCTGGTTCTTTGAAAAGAATTCGAAGTGATAATGGTGGTGAATTTAAAAATGCTTCTTTTGAACAATTTTGCAACGAAAGAGGTCTTGAACATGAATTTTCTTTTCCTCGTGTTCCTCAACAAAATGGTGTTGTTGAAAGGAAAAATCGTGTTTTGGTTGAGATGGCTAGAACGATGTTGGATGAGTATAAAACTCCAAGAAAATTTTGGGCTGAGGCGATTAACATTGCTTGTTATATTTCAAATCGAGTTTTCTTGAGATCTAAACTTAGAAAAACTTCTTATGAACTTCGATTTGGTCATCAACCCAAAGTTTCACATTTGCGTGTTTTTGGTTGTAAGTGCTTTGTCTTGAAATCTGGAAATTTGGATAAGTTTGAGGCACGTTCTACCGATGGATTGTTTCTTGGTTACCCCGCACATACTCGTGGCTATCGTGTACTTATTTTGGGGACTAACAAAATCGTGGAGACTTGCGAGGTTTCTTTTGATGAGGCTAGTCCAGGTACTAGACCCGATATTGCAAGTACACTGTCACAGGTTCAGGGGGAGGATGGTTGTATTTTTGAAGACGAGAGCGACGATGACTATGACGACGAGGTTGGCTCGGCCGGTCAGACCGAGCGCTAGGCCGGTCAGACCGCCGGCACACCTCCGGTTAGACCGGCTCATGAGGAGCGGTCAGACCGGCCAGGGTCGTCGGGTTCGGGTACTGCTGATGCTGATCGAGATGGTCCTCCGGAGATTACTACTTTGACCAGTACTAATACAGAACGTGGATCAACTTCAGAAGTCACGGCTCCTTTGCACATTCAACGACGACATCCGCTTGAACAAATTATTGGTAATATAGGTGAGCGGACTACAAGGTCTAAGGTAACGACTCATGATGTTTGTGCAAATTCTGCATTTGTTGCTTCTTTTGAACCTCAAGGTACTTTTGTGCATCAAACGAAGTATACGAAGGATCTTTTGAGACGGTTCAAGATGGAGAATTGCAAGCCAATTTCAACACCAATTGGTTCTACAGCTGTGTTGGATCCTGATGAAGATGGTGAAACTGTTGATCAAAAGGAGTATAGAAGTATGATTGGATCTTTATTGTATCTAACTGCTTCTAGGCCAGACATACAATTTGCTATGTGTTTGTGTGCGCGCTTTCAAGCTTCTCCTCGTGCTTGACATCGTCAAGCGGTCAAGCGAATAATGAGGTATTTGAATCATGCACTTGAGTTTGGAATTTGGTATTCTACTTCATCTACTATATGCTTAAGTGGATATTCTGGTGCTGATTTTGGAGGTTGTAGAATTGATAGAAAAAGTACTAGTGGAACATGTCATTTTCTTGGTACATCATTGATTGCATGGTCTTCTAGGAAACAATCTAGTGTTGCTCAATCAACTGCTGAATCTGAATATGTTGCTGCTGCTAGTTGTTGTTCACAGATTCTTTGGCTTTTATCTACTTTGAAACATTATGGTCTTACTTTTGAGAAAGTACCTCTCTTTTGTGATAATACTAGTGCTATTAATATTGCTAAGAATCCTGTTCAACACTCACGCACAAAGAACATTGATATTCGTTTTCACTTTTTGAGGGATCATGTTGAGAAGTGAGATGTTGAGTTGCAGTTTTTGGACACCAAGTTGCAAATTGCTGATATTTTCACTAAACCTTTGGATTCTAATCGCTTTACTTTTCTTCGTGGTGAATTGGGCATAATTCATTCTTTTGGCATGGTTTGAGGGGGAGTTTGTACCTCATGGTTTTAGCAAGCAATAATATGACAATGATAAAAATTGAGAAAAGAGAGCTTTTGTTTATGCATATGGTATTTTCTTGTGCATGCTAGCAATACTTTGAAGGTTTATTTGTCTCTAGCATAGCTTGTATGTATTCTAGTCTTTTCATGATATTTAGATTTTGCTTTTAAGGGAGATGATGCATGACACTTAAATTCTTTACTTGAATTAAGAAAATATGCAATGTTGATGCTAGCATATGGTTTGATTTATAAATGCTCTATATATATGCTTTATTGACTTGTTATTCCTTAAATAGCTTTAATTGCTCATTGTGAAAAAGAGAATAAAAATATGAAAAAAATGAATACTGAATCCTTGGAAACAGTCTTGACGACAAGGACGTATTCGATATGAGCAAAATAATGGGTGCCGAATCCCTGGAAACAGTCTTGACGACAGGGACGTACCCGGAATAAAAGAGAAAAATATGAGAAAAAGGCTCAAGAAAAGAAAAAGTTGAAAAATTCTCTTGGTTATTTTGTGCTAAAGGTTATTTGAGAAAGAGTGATAAATGCAATAGATATATGTGTTTCGTGTTTATTCTTCAACCTATGTGCTTGTTAAGATGTTGCATTATAAATCATTTAAAATCATGAATTCTGATTGTTGATTCAAGCTTAATTGTAAAATCTTTGGTTCATGGTTATACTTTAATGCATGCTTGTTATGATATAGATGGGTTCATCTTCTTTTTATTGCAACACATGACATGATATGCTATATGTATGCTGAGCTCTTGAACATTAATGAACCTAATTCCTATGCTTGATGAAATCATTGTCAAAAGGGGGAGAAGTAATGTGAAAATTTTTGGATTTTTGGAGAAGCAAGGAAAAATTTTTTTGAAGAGTTGTTGAGAAGAGCATGTTTTTGGTTCAATTGGGAATTTCTTTCTTTTAAAAAGGGGGAGAAGTTTTCTTTTGGATTTTTGAGCACGATGTGTACAATTGTACGAAGTGTGCTTTTTACCACTTTTGTTTTTATTTTTCCAAACACCAAAACATTTTTATGAATTTGCCAATGTGTTCATCAAGGGGGAGATTGTAAAATCAAAGAAGTTTTTGATTACTATTATGTGATGAACAATTGGGCATTGGAGATTATTGGTTTTGTTATTTGGAATTTTTTCACGAAGTGGTTTTGGAGATGATTGGATTTCACAGGTGATCGCAGGTTTATTATTTCATGTGACCGGTCAGACCGGGCTCTGGTAGCCGGTCGGACCGGCGGTGATTGAGCGGTCGGACCGGCCAGCCCACGGTCTGACCGGCCGACACAGTGTCAGTTTCGGTTTCGGGTTGTTTATTTGGATATCCGAGTTTATTTCATGATTATGACTTTTAGATAGATACTATACGTATGTAATACTATTGTTTGTTGCTAATGAGTCAAGTTGGAGATAGCTTGGTCTCGGAATATGGTTTCTTTGTTTGTTCCATGTGTAGGTGACTCGATGTCTCGGGAGAGTATTTGCGGTGATGGACCAGGAGTCGGCTTGGGGATAAGACGACGTCCGTGGCAGTCAGAGATCATACGGGATACTAAGGCTAGAGTTGATGCACGTGGTTGATGGAGATTCCATATGGCATACGATGGAGTTATTGTGTGCGTATGGGATGCGGAGTCGAATTTGGAAGGAGTCCAAATTTGGTACGATTGGTTATGTAAAGTTTCTTTCTTATACTAGAGGGTTTCCTAAGGTGTTTAGGACTCCTAGTATGAGTTTGGTTCGTGGCTTTAGGCTGCCTACCTCATGTATAAATAGAGGGGGAGCGTGAGGCTTCCCGGTATCGCTTTAGAGAGCAATTAAGTTGAGTTTTTAGTTAGGGTTTTGAGTTTAGTCGAAATTTTTGTAAGGAGAGCTGTTGGTGCACTTTCTAAACACAGAGAGAATCAATAAAGTCGTCATCCACTTTAAGAGTTCTTCGATTTGTGTTTACCGGGTTTCGGCGGTCTAACCGGCGATCTACCGGCGGTTAGACTGGCGGCAAGCGGCGGTCAGACCGGCGGGTACACGGCGGTCAGACCGGCAGCGGCGACAGGCGCGGCAGGCATTCTCAGTGGTTCGACTGATCGATCTACATCGGTCAGACCGACGTTCATCAGGCGGTCAGACCGGTGCAACTACTTCGGTCAAACCGCGATCCATCGATTTCGAGGGTAACTTTTATTTCCGATAAAAATTTTCGGTTTTTGGGTATACCAACCATTCACCCCCCCTCTGGTTGGCTTAGTTCTTATGATTCGATCCTACAAATAGCCGTGGCATATGAAGGCCACCTCCGTAACTATTTACACTTCAGGTTACAATATCCGGTTTCATACTTTGGGAATTAAAGTAGTGGTTTCTTTCCTCATGGACGTGACGTAATAGTCATGGTTCACGGGTTAGGGTCATGTTCTAGCTAGTACAATAATGCAACTAAACTACTCATTGATGATTGATGTTTCTTAAAATAAAAAAGAAGAAGAGAAAAGTAGCTTTGGTGATCATTATATTCCATCGAGCCTAACCATCTAGCCATTTATGCCTGCCTTTGGAAGCTGGTGCTCCATAAAGCCAAGGGCAAGAACACCTTTTGCAAACCAACACCCTCAACACCTCTTGTTCCCTTGCCTATGACATAACTATGGAGATTGTAACAGGAGCAATAAACACTCTGCTCCTCAAATTTGCGAAGCTGCTGGTTGGGGAGTACAAGCTGCAGAAGGGCGTGAAGAAGGAGATCGAGTCCCTCCAGGAGGAGTACGTTGGTAAGCTTGGGTGCGGCACTCCACAAGGTATCCGAGGTGCCCGTCGATCAGATCGACGAGCAGGTTAAGATTTGGGTGAGAGATGTTAGGGAGCTGTCCTACGACATCGAGGATTCTATCGATACCTTCATGGTGAGTGCCGGTAAGGATGGGCACCCCGTTGCCAAGTTGTTCAGCTTCAAGGGGATGATTGACAGGACTAACAACTTATTCAAGAAGGTTGTGGCTCACCATCAGATTGCAAGGGAGATAAAGGACATCAAGAAACTTCTTGAGGATGCGAGTAAGCGCCGCGAGAGGTACAAGATTGATGATGCTGTCATTGCACGAAGATCGGAGAGTATTGATCCTCGGCTAGGTGCTATGTACAAAAAGGAGACGGAGCTAGTCGGTCTCGATGGGCCAAAGAATGTGCTAGTGAAGACACTCATGGAGGAAGATGGAAAATTGAGGAAACACCGAGATATAATTTCGATTGTTGGATTTGGAGGCCTCGGCAAGACAACGATTGCCAACGCATTGCTTCATGAGCTCAGAGTAAAGTTTGATTGCCATTTCTTTGCATTGGTGTCCAACAAATCTGATATCAGGAATATTCTAAAGAGTATACTCCATCAACTTGACAACAAAGCCAACATATTTGAAGGACTAGCAGACTTCCAACTTATAAATAAAATTAGAGAAATCCTGCAGAATAAGAGGTACATTTATGTATATAACTTTTCAATTATTCACATTGATTTATCATGAACATATTTATTTCATTTTTAAGTTGCCAACATGAAACATTCATTTAAATTTTGTACACTATTTTTACCTATGCATTTTCAATTTGCTAGCATACCTAATGACTGATTACATGTCTTAGTTACTCCAATTGTTTCCTTGACGTTGAACTGTTAGTGTAATATCATCTCGACGAACCAAACATAACAAATCATGTAAGAGGTAAAAAAATAGATTAAACTAGACCAAACCTAATAATACAATTACTCCTAAACGATGAGGAATTAACCAATGGAACTTTACAAAATTCTTTCTTAGCGTACTAGAAAGTTTTTTAGGTTTATTATCTTGAAAAAAATGGTGCTAAGCGAAAAAAGAAAAAGAAAATGAAGACACTAAGAAAAAGCAACAAGACACTTCTGGATGCTTAAACTTGTTCTTTATTGAATTAAGTAATTTGTTCACAAGGTGTATCCGCAACACCCAAAACCGCTCAAAATACACTCTCCCCCACCCCCCTCCCCCCCCAAAGAACAATTCAACCCAGTTTGAACAGTTGTTTTTGCAAAGTTAAGTGATTAGAATCCAAAACATTTACTTTTTAACTAAGCATGCACCCACTTAGAAAAATAAAAATTAGTTCCCACATAAAAAACATATTATTAGGATGCCAACATGAAAACCACCATTACCAGGTTGAAGGGGTATTCTAACCAATTTTAATAGTTAAGGGTATAAGTTGTCCAGTATCGTAGTTGACATTGATTTCTTAACTTCTAGACTTGGCAAATAGTTAAGGTGGGTTAAATACTTAAATGGACTTCACTCTTTATAAAATTTAGCACCCACCATGTTAAGATAAATTTAGATATCGCCTAGTCTCAAACTTCTACTATGACCTAATACATGAATATTGTAGGCAGATTTGAATTTTTTTTTTTGTGAAAGAGATTTAATGGTTTCATTTACAAGTTACAAATCTTAGTACCATTTGATATATTGTACTCTCTGTTTCAGGTTATAAGATATTTTGACTTTACTGCTTCAAGTTTGACTAAGTTTATAGAAAAAAAATAGTAATATATTTGACTCAAGATAAATTTATTATAAAAATATATTTTATTATTAATTTAATAAAAACTAATTTGGTAATGTAAATATTACTGTCTATAAACTTAGTCAAACTTGAAGCGGTTTGACTTTGATCAAAGTCAAAACGTCTTATAACCTGAAACGGATAGAGTGGTCAAATGGTGAAGTTTGACTCCCGGAGGCCAGAACTATTGGGGGAATGTTGGAAACATCCATCAACTTTACAATAAGATACAATTCAACCCTACTTTTGCAAAAACCATTCGATTTTCAACCATGGCAGATGGCAAGAATTTAGAGTGATTTCAAAGATGAAGTGACCTGCTGATCCTAAGCAATGTCTTAAGCGAAAATTATAAAGTGGTTTCAAAGACATTAATTGTCAGGCTATAAATGGGCTGTGGCTAGAAACAACTCTCCTTTTAGAAGGCAAAGACAGGTAGTGTTTAAACTAACTAAACCCATTTTTAGGGTCCAATTTGACTTAATTTTTTTACCTACTAAATTGATTTAGGATCGGAAAACTCTAAATTGTTTTTACACAAAAGAATAAAGGACATGCTCTATTCAAAGCATAAAAACTCCAAATTAGTAAATGTCTTCAAGCAAATTTCACAAAAAATTAAGACGCACATTGGAGTACTAAAAAAACTACATAAGTTGGGAGCGGAGAGTAATTAAGTTTGAGGGACTATTGAACAAATTACCACAAGTTTTTTTGGGTGAAAAACTTTCAAATGTAACTATAGCCATTAATTCGTCATTAGTAAATATTTACTGTAGCACCATATTGTCAAATCATGGAACAATTAGGCTTAAAAGATTCGTCTCACAATTTTACACGCAATATGTGTAATTAGTTTTTGTTTTTGTCTATATTTAATACTTCATACATGTGTCCAAACATTCGATGTGACAGGGTGAAAAAACTTGCCAACGGATCTAAACAGGCCCTAAGGAACACGATGCGCGCGGCTCTCCCTCCCCTGTGGTCCTGTGCGCTTTTTTTTAATCTTTAGTCCCGGTTGGTATGAACAATCGGGACTAAAGTGCTGATCTTTAGTCCCGGTTGGACTAAAGATTGTTGGCGGCCTAGCACCATCTGACAAGAATTGAACCGGGACTTAAAAATGATCTTTAGTCCCGGTTGGTAAAGATCATAAAGTGTCGTTGGGCTTTTTAACTGGGACTAAAAATGATTTTTAGTTCCGATTCCTATTAAAATCGGGACTAACGTGGTTTTTCCACCATCCAGCAAAGATCAGAGAACTCCAGTAGTGTAAGTATTAAAAACGCACACTACCTCCATAAAACTTGTACATAAGTTTTATAGAAAACATAATATAGTTACAATGTAATTACACTACAATTATATTAGAGTTACATTTGAAAGTTTTTCACCCAAAATGTTACGACAATTTTTTTTATCAATTCTCAAGTTTAATGTGGTCATATTTTTTTAAAAAAAATAGTTGTAAGCATTATTTTTGGGCCAACTATACTTTAGGAAGCATCTTTTTCTAAATTTTAGGTGATCTACTAATTCTAAACAATTCAAAAACATGCTTGTCAATGTCCATCAGCAGCATATCACCTAAAACAACTCTAAATTCATTCAAAGGATAAAAAGTTAACGGTTATGATAATTCAGGGTTCAATGGTTTTTGTTGGTTCTGACGCTTCGGGTTATTTCTTCGACTTTCATGGAATTTCAAGGTTGTAAAATATAGATTAAGCTTTCTATAGTATCATATATTTCTGAATCTAACAGATACCTTTCCATGGGAGCTCTTTCCATGGAGTCATTTGACACAATTACTATCTAGCTTTACTGACATGTGTTTTATACTTCTTACGACTAGATTCTTGTGTGTAATTGATGATATATGGGAAGAGTCAGCTGGGATGTTATCAAGCTTGCTTTGCTAGATGGTGATCATGGAAGCAAAATAATCACAACCACCCGAAAAATGGCTGTTGCAGAACGTGTCGGTGGTGCTGTTTATGAACTAAAACCTCTTTCTTATGACGACTCCTACAAGTTGCTCAGCAAGAGAGTATTTGACACTGAAGACAGGTTCGCTCCGGAATTGAGTGAAGTCACCAGAAGTATTTTAAATAAATGTGGTGGTTTACCATTAGCTATAATTACTATAGCAAGTTTATTAGCCAGTAAACCGATGCAAATTCAGGAATGGGAGAAGGTAAATAATTCTATAGGCTTTGGACTTGGAAATACCTTGATGTGGACAACATGAGGAAAATACTGAGTCTTAGTTACTATGACCTACCTCCACATCTGAAGACTTGCTTATTGTATCTAAGCAAATATCCCGAGGATGCGATTATCGCGAAGGATATTTTGATTTGGAGTTGGATAGCAGAGGGTTTTATTACCAACGAGGGAGAACATGGGAGAAGCTTACAGGAGATTGGAGAAAATTACTTCAATGAGCTCCTGAATAAAAGCCTTATCCAACCAGTAGATATTGGCCGCATTTGTGAAAACGATGGTCAGGTGCATGCTTGTCAAGTACATGACATGGTGCTTGAGTTCACAAATCAGTTATCTGCTGAAGAAGGATTTGTTGCAGCAATGCCATTAGATAGTGAAAAAGAAGGTATACTGGTACCGTCTGTTCAAAAGAAAGTTCGCCGACTATCTTACAATTACAGAGACAACGATTCCTTTCTTCATGGAACATACTATACCACCAATACATATGCCACAGCAGAAGCTAGAGAGAGCTTGTCCAGAGTGAGGTCTTTTACTGTCTTCAACAGTGTCAAATCCATACCACCTCTAATGATCTTTCGTGTTCTTCGTGTGTTACGACTGGATGATTGTTCGAATCTAGAGGACAATCATCTCAATGATCTCGCAAAGTTGCATCACCTAAGGTTCCTGCGGCTAGGGAATATCAGTAAACTCCCCGAGTGTATTGGGAATCTGCAGGTTCTACAGACTTTGGACATAAGAGATACTCGCTCAGTGATTCAGTTACCACCTTCTTTTGTCAGATTACGACAGTTAGTCCGGCTGATTGCTCACAAAGTTAGTCTGGCAGATGGTTTGACCCTAGGGAATATGACATCTCTACAAGAGCTGACATGCGCCGGTCTCACTGAAAACTTACTGCAAGAGGTGTGTGATCTAACAGGCCTTAGGATTCTGAATCTTATGCTTTCTTCAGAAGAGGATTGTGAGATCTTCAGGGATGCCTTTGCCGACAGCCTAAGTAGGCACAAAAGTTTGCAGAACCTCACACTAGATCCCCAGGCCTTTACGGCCTAGATTTCATGCAACAAGTTCCTTGCTGTCTCCAAAGGTTTATGAGCAGTGGCCCATTCTATAGGGGATTCCCTCGATGGGTTAATTCCTCACTCTCCTGCCTCACCATCTTATCCATCAATCTGAACAATTATATGGAGCAGGAGTACCTTGTGACTCTCGCAGAGCTTCCCTCTCTACAGTTTCTCAGGATATTTGCATCTAATGTAGTGGAAGTGATAGATGTTGAACGTAAGAAGAGAAGGCTCATTGTTCACAGAGGCACATGTGCATTCCGTTGTCTACAAGAATTTCACTTTTACTGTCATAGAATGTGCCTCTCTTTTGAACCAAGGGCTATGCAAGAGCTTCAAAGGATTTGCCTTCAGTTTTCGGTGTGGGAGACTATTGATGTCTACGGTGAAATTGATTTTGGACTGGTGAACCTCCCTTCTCTCCGGAATATTTTTGTGGACTTGGATAGATTTGAAACCTCAGGAGAGGAGATTCAGGAAGCTGAAGCCGCTATCAGGAAGGCAGCTAATGATCATCACAATCATCCATCCCTTGATTTTGTTTCTGTGTATGCTGACTTATCTCGTCACGTGTATACAGTAGTTAAAGGAATATTAAGACAAGATTGATCTGCATCAAATCTACGTCATTCCTTCCCATACATGCTTTCAGCATGTATTGGGTTTTGATTTGATTGTTTTACTAACCATTTTTCTTACCCGCTTCAGATTTGCTATACTTCCATTGATTGACATTGCCTTTCATGATTATAAAAACTTGATGCACTCCTGACGCCTTGTTCTGGAATATACATATGTCTCTCTCGTTTGTGTGCAGAGGGTAAGCAAATGTCATTGGTGATAGACCAGCCTATTCTGTTCCTCAAATCAAACAAATTAGTGTAAGACGAAATGATTATGTTCTGTTCTGGCATGACACATGGTTAGGGGCGTGCCTCTCAAACATAGGCACCGTTACATTTTTGACATATGCAATAAATTCTTAATAGAGAAAAGAACTGTTGCAGCTTTGGTGTTTGGGAGATTTGGCTTCAGAAGGTCTCATTTCTTGGATCAAGGATTAGCGTTTTCAACCTCCTTGATCTGTTAAGCTGGAGAGAACTATCAGCTATTTGATCTGATTGAAAATTGTTGGCCAAATCCTGTTGAGGACAGATGCAAAATGGGCTCTTCGGAAAAGGGCTAAGGGCTCTTTTCGAACGCAAGAATTTTACATGATTTTTGGAGGATTTAGTTCAAATCCTATAAAAAAATCATCCATTTCAAAAGAGGGTGGCACATGTTTTTATGCGCATGAGAAGCAGGGAGAAGGAGAGATTCTGGAGGAGCTAAGATAACAATGAAAATCAAGATGTACATGTGGCAAGCCTACTGGGACAGACCCTGCAATGCAGCTGGAGAATAGGATCTGGTAAGGAGGAGATGGAGAAAATACAAGTCACAATTTTCGTTTGCTCGCAAAACTGCACAAACTTATATTGTTTTGGGGTGTGATTTGTGCTTTTGATATACAGCTGGTGGGACCACATCCTGTTCTTGTTTCCTTCTTTTTGTTTGAATGATGCAATATTTGCTTCCAGTGAAAGTGGGATATCCTTGATCCAAAAGAAAAGGGCCAAGTGACTACCAATACATAGAGTTTTTATGATATTCGAGAGATATTTGTACATCTTAGAAATGCCAAAAATATTTGCAATATCTCCAAGAAGCATATTAATACAAGAGTGGCTTGTGTATTTTTAATATCTCCAATGAGCATATTCTATTTGTTAGGGCTTTGGCTTTTTAACTTATACTGGATGCAACCCCGCATGTTGCTGGGGGATATCTAGTTAAGAATGGCAGTTAAAAATGACAAACTAACTGTGCTAAAAGTATTGAAAATATATTGAAATTGAATAACTAGGAAATTGATTTCCCATCAGGAACAGAGCAGTTTTGCAACATAGAAAATACACAGTGCTAATGTGCTACTTGATTTCACTATCATAAAAACTAGTACTATTCTGATAAGCATTGTAGAACAAAACAGAAATCATGCTTTGCTCTAAAAAAAATTGAAAGTATTTAGGTGCATACCGTTGAGTCGTTGACGGATGAGCACACGCATCAAAAACTGATGAGTGGGGGAGACAAACATCACACAGCAGGGCTGGTGGATCTCCAATCTGATTGAATTTTACATAGTAGGAAAAAAACAGGATTAAGATAAATGAACAAGGACATAGGATGATTTAGCATGGAAAAGGGGATTTGAAAAGGACGAAACAGCAAACCTGTGTGCTTCATGGAGTGACTGAAGCTGAAAGGCAGGAATCTGCAGAAGAAGAAGACGTAAAAAAACACCGGCGTATCCAAGACAGACGGATTCCAGTGGCAGGAGGAGGCTCGTTGTTAGAGGTCGGGGAGAAGGGTACCTCCGACCGGAGCTGCGCATGGACGAGATGTGGCGGTCGCCGTCGCCGTCGGCGAGCTTCGCGGGAGAGGGGAGCCGTCGTCCCGTCCCGGTCGAGCGAACTGAGTCGCCGCCGGCGAGGAGCTAGCGTCGTCCTGAGCCGCGGTTGGGCTGGGCACGGCGTACGGGAGAACATTGATGGGCCGAGGCGGGGAGAGTCCAGTCACTCGGGCCAGAAATATAGGCCTGACGAATTTTTTTTCATTTTTAAATTTTTATTTTTTAATATTTACGGACTATCCAAAATATTTATAGAAATGGCCCCTTCCGCCCAATTGGAGGAGGGCAAGGTGTGCGCATTTTGCACTGAGGTCCCTTGCCACTCTCTGCAAGGGCTACAAGGGGGCAAATGCAATTTTCACCCCGCCAAAAATGCATTTTTCTAGTTTTTTTTTCATTTTATCCGTCCCTCACGTTACCCTGCCGAGGGCGGCAGGGTCTACTTCTGTAAATATTTTCGCCGGTACAATATTTCTATAAATATTAAAAAATAAAAATTTAAAAATGAAAAAAATTATAGGCTTGACTATCCTTCAATTGTTCTTTTTTCCTGACATGGCTCGTTGACTTAGTTTTAACTTACTGAGTCAGTATATGGGACCCATGTGTTAATTACTCTTCTCTCCCTCTCTTTCTTCTCTCTTTCTCATCTTATGCTTGGTAGTTGGCAGTGTGAGGTGGCCAGCGAGAGTCCCCTCAACCCCACCGGCCGCGAAGAGAGGTAGCTCGAGGAACCTATTGGGAAATGATAGAAAACGCAGCAAGCCCCAAGGGGAAAACGGAAAACGGCACCCGCAGGTGTCGCCATTGCTGACCCAAAGGCTAGGCCTTTGCCCATTGTTCTACTCACCCACGCTAAAGAGTGCATGCTAGATTCAGCAAAACCACCAGCTAATCTCCTTCGACGTGCAACCACCGCGTCGCAGGCCGACCATCAAAGAAGAATCTCAACCCTCGTCGCGCTTCAAATCCATCCACGTGGTTGGGTTGGAGAGGAAGAGGATGATAGAGAAGAATGGATCCCTTCTCCCTGCACTAGCCTGTCCAGCGTAGCCATCTTATGGCGGCAAGCCGCCGCCGCAAGAGGACATACGCCTGGAAGGAAGCTCGCCACAGGTTTCAACACCCCCTCATAGCGCAACCATCGCCGCCGCCTCGACCAAGCTGCCCGTCGCCTCGTCCTCTCACCACGGCAGCCTCCGTCCTCCTCACCGCAGCCATCACCTCGCCGACCGCCGCCGACCATCGGGAGCGTCACCACCGCTATCAGGCACCACCACCGCCCCCGGCCGCTCCACCTTGTGTCGTGCAGTCATCTGCCGTCATCGGCTGAGCCTTGCGCACGAGCCACCGCGGCTTCTACGCTCGTCGGCCTCCTTTACCGGCCGTCGTCCACCGCCAAAAGTCGCTGCCTCCGCCTCCCGTCGTCGCTGCTTGAGCGGCTTGCACCGGTCAGATCCGCGCGCAGAGGTACCAGATCCACCCACGGGGGGACCGGATCTGGCCGCGGTGGCGTCGGATACGACGCCTCCACGCTGCGTCGTCAACCTCTGCTCTGTGCGCCAGCCCGCCTTCCACGTGCAGAGACGGGGGTGCCACCGAGATTTGGCCTCACGCGCCGTCATCCCGGCTGGCCGCTCGGTTCTCCAGCGGTGGCGAGGGGAGGGAGAGGAGGAGAGAGGGGAGGCGGCGGCGCTAGGCTTTCCCCCCAGCGGCCCGCGCATGGGCGACGCGGGGTCGAGACACGTCCATACTATGGCGCTTAATATTTTTGTGTTCATGATAAATGGGTTCACATATATTTTTTTTAATTCCAATGCCACATAAGCGTCACATTAACACCACGTGAAACGAAGACCATGTCAACACTGCCACATAGGGGTCACGTCAGCAAAAACACCCTCCAAGACCTCGAGGGAGTTAAATTACACCTGTTTTAATAGTTGGGGGTTAAGATATCGGTATCGTGGTTCAGGGAAACAAATCAGATCCGGTCACTAGTTAAGGGAGTAAAAGTAAACTTATTCGTAGTGAAGCCCAGAAGCGGGAGATCAAGGCCCATCTAGGCCCGACACGAGAGAGCCATATAAACCCCACCATTCTCCCACCCGCCTCTTCCCCACCTGCCCTCCTCGCGAAAACCCTAACCCTCCTCCTCCTCCGCCGCCGCCGCTCTCCCAAGGTGGCGGCGCTGCCCTTCCCCCTTGTTCTTCTTCCTTGCATCTGCTTCCCTCCCGTTTTGCTTCTAATTGTATTTCTCTTTCGTTTCCGCAGATCCCTCCCGTCGTCGTCGCTGTCGGCCCCTCGGGTCTTTCTAGCGCAGGAGACATGGCGTAAGTTTCCCCCCGCACCGAAATCTCGGCGCCCCCACTCGCTTCATAGTTGATATATTTTTTTCTGTTGGTCTGGCTGCTGATGGATGGCGCCTGAGAAATGGGTTGTGCTCCTAGCGGTTTTGCGGGATCATGCCCTTGCTGTTCGTGTTCTGTTTTTTTGTTTTGGAATTGTGAGGGTCGCGGCTTGTTTTGACGAATTGATTCAAGAACCCGGCGAGTCTTCAGCTTGTCTGTAATGTTGTGCGATTGGAAAGCTGTCATGCTCATGTGGCTCGTATTTTAGCGAAAGCGTGAGCTGCCATGGATGGGATTGAAATTTATGCTTTAGGAATTCTTTAGTTATGCCTGTAATATAGTTTTGCAAGCAGATTTCTGGTTCATACTCAGAAAAAGACCAAACTTCTGGGGACGAATCTAGACATGTGCTTCTCCGTATTCATTTCCAGAAGTTGTATTTTTGGGACGGAGGGTGTACATGGTAATATTAAGCAGATAGAACATACGGCCAGATAGAAAGAAGGCTTAATGCTTGCTGAATTAGTTTTTGTTCGTTAAGCGAGTTGTTCTGGCTGAGTGGGGGCATATTATTAGTTCTCCTTTCTACATTTGTCCTCGAATTGTTTTGTTTTGCTTGAATTCGGAAAAACCTAGCTTTGTGCACGTCATTGCTAATACAGTGGGAAATTGACTTTTGCTTATGTTTACTAACTATTTTGAGAATGCAGCACCATATATTGTCAAATTACTTGGAACTCAATTATCTAAAGAGCATTTCCAGTAGAACAAAACTAAAAGGAAAACGTGTTGCTACCTTGTTTACTAAGATTAAGCATCCATGCAGGGAAGAGACTCCAGTTGAGGCCCCACCTGCCCCGGTTCTTGGAGAGCCGATGGACCTGATGACTGCTCTGCAGCTTGTGATGAAGAAGTCAAGCGCTCATGATGGGCTCGTGAAGGGGCTCCGTGAGGCGGCCAAGGCCATTGAGAAGCATGCCGCTCAGCTTTGCGTGCTTGCTGAGGACTGTGACCAGCCTGATTATGTCAAGTTGGTCAAGGCACTCTGCGCTGAGCACAATGTTCACCTCGTTACCGTGCCTAGTGCTAAAACTCTTGGCGAGTGGGCAGGGGTGAGATACATTACTCTTCTATTAGCTATACCTTGTCAATTGTTATACTGTGTTAATCTGATGTCTAGGCTGCCGGATAAGATTTTTTGATTTAGCCTTCTGCTAATGACTACAGTTTTACCAGCTCAGTGTAAAATGTGCTATTTAATTTTGTAATCCTTTATCTAAATTTTAATTTCATTTTGTTGTTGATATCGTTCTGCATCTCTCCTTTCTGCATATCTTCTGATTTAACAATATCACAACAAACGTTGTTTGCAGCTTTGCAAGATTGATTCTGAGGGCAAGGCGAGGAAGGTCGTAGGCTGCTCCTGCGTCGTTGTCAAGGTAGATAATTGATTACCCACCATACTACTTCAAATATCTTTTTGCCATCTTCGGCATTTGGTAATGTTGGCTTGTTCTTTCTCATTTACCAGGACTTCGGTGAAGAGTCAGAGGGCCTCAACATAGTCCAGGACTATGTCAAGTCCCACTAGATATAGCGTTCCCGATATCCAGAACTTGTGCTTGACATTGTGTACTTTCCTTTATATTTTGCTTGGTTCTGTGGCTTGCTAGGAGATAAGAAAATTTTTGTGGTGTGAGCCAAGGGGATATGAGCAATTTGGACCTCTGAACTTTATGTTTACTGTGCTGGATCAGCTGTTTATTTATCTGAAATCATCATGAGCTGAGGATCTGTTTGCCCCTTATTTTCAGTTTGGTTTTATTGTTCGGTGAGGTCTGCATGGTATTTGATATTACAGCAAGGAAATTTTCACCAACTGTGCATAGGTGTACCATGTTTGGACAACTAAGCAGGACTGCGTGATCACGCTGAGATGAGAGAATCTTACGATTTTCATGGAAACAAGTACGTTTGCAAAGACGATTTTATTTCTCCGAAGACAATTTGATACACCATGCGACTAATTTATCAAATTGTCTTTGGATTTCGATCGTCTAGGGCTTACAGTTTTTCCTTTTTGAGCTCAAATGCGAGCTGCCAGCCCCATTGAAGTAATCTCGAAATTCATTTGAATTTTGACACAAACCAAACGGTTTGCGTGGAGATCTGAATTGTTTCTGGCTTAAATGCGAACCGCAATGACATCAATTTTGAAATTTATTTGAAAATTGTCACAAATCGAACGGTTTGTGGACATCCGAATTTTCGGCAAAAAAAATCGAGCGAATCTGAATATGTGAAATACTCCCTTCGTACTTGTAAAGAAAGTTGTTTAGGACAATATTTAAGTCAAACCTTACAAATATAAATTATAAATTACTTTCAAGTTGTTGTGTTTAAAAATGTAAAAACTATATGACTAGATTTATCTTGAAAAGTACTTTCATAAAAGTATACACATATTATTTTTTAATAAATATTTTTATAGAAATAAGAAGTAAAAGTTGTGTTTTGAATAATGTCTCTGCTGTCCAAAACTACTCCCTTCGCGAGTACGGAGGGAGTATCTTCCCCTTAGCACGAATCTCGATGAAATCTAGCGAGAGGGAAAGGCGGGAACGGATAAGATAGCAAATCTCCCGAGCCGCGAAAACTTCTTCTCCGACGCCGATCCATGGCCGCCGCCGCCGCCGCCACCTTCCTCCCCCACACGCCCACCCCGCGCCGCCGCCTCGCCGTCGCTGTCCACTCACCGACCCGCCGCCGTCTCTCCCTCGTGTTCTCCGGCCCTCCCGACGGCGCCCTGTCGGTGGCGGCGGCGGAGGAGAAGGCCGACGCCGGTGAGGAGGCGGCGGCGGCGGTGTCGGCCCCGCGGGGCGGCGGAGGAGGAGGAGGGAAGGAGCGGCGCCGCGTGGTGCGGAAAGCGTGGGAGAAGCTCGTCCGGTGGTCCCGGTCCTGGCGGCGGCGCAACCGGAGCGACGTGGTCGAGACGACGCGCAAGGTGGTGGTGCTCGGAGGGGGCTCGTTCGGGACGGCCATGGCGGCGCAGGTGGCGGCCAAGAAGGCCGACCTCGAGGTCTCCATGCTGCTCCGGGACGACCTCGTCTGCCGATCCATCAACCACAGCCACATCAACTGGTGGGTACAGCTCCAATCTCTCATTGCCCCCCATTTCTTGATTCATTTGAGAAATAATATCATATCATTCTAATTCTGGTGATTAGATTTCTTGCTGAATCTAACTTTCAGCTTCTTCAATTTGTCTCAGTAAATATTTACGAGACCACAGGTTACCAGAAAATATCACTGCAACAACTAGTGCTAGTGATGCTTTAGCAGGAGCAGATTTCTGCTTCCATGCTGTCCCAGTTCAGGTATTCAGAACAGTTCATTACAAATCATTGTTCAGTGCAATGGGGGTTCCCTTCCCTCTTGTGACTCTTGAGGTTTCTTTTTGTGGCAGTTCAGTTCATCATTTCTCGAGGGTATTTCAACACATGTTGATCCGAAGTTGCCGTTCATATCGCTTAGCAAAGGGCTTGAACTTAACACCCTTCGGACAATGTCTCAAATCATCCCTCAAGCGCTGGGGAATCCCCGCCAACCGTTTATTGTTCTGTCAGGACCTTCTTTTGCAATCGAACTGATGAACAAATTGCCAACAGGTTTAGTAAGATCATTTCTTGACAAGTTTAATCTTCTCTATGTCATACTCCCTCTAGCTTGTTTAGGATGCAATGTCAATTGGCACCACTTCATGTTTTTTTTTTCTGTTTTGCTTGTGTTTAATAATTGTGAGGATGCCCAGCTCTGGTACTTTCTATAAAGAACATGGAATGTTTTTATTTGCAATGAAGGAAGGAACCTCATAGTTATTAAACTTTACATGGCAGCTATGGTGGTGGCATCCAAGGACAAAAAGTTGGCAGCTGCTGTTCAGCAGCTGTTGGCCTCACCGAATTTGAGGATAAGCACATCAAAGTAAATATTACTAACCATTGGCCATATATAAATGCTGATCACTATGTAACCGAGAATTCTTTTATGTATAGACCAAGAACTGTTTCTTCTCTTCTGTAAGGATTTAGGAATTCAGACAAGCAACATGGGCTATCACTTAGTTTAGTAAAAATAATGTACATTGAATTTAACTATGCATTCATGAGAAAGAATACTTGAATGTGACTTGTGATGCTTCAGTGATGTTACAGGTGTAGAAATTGCTGGCGCACTTAAGAATGTTCTTGCAATAGCAGCAGGTATAGTAGAAGGCATGCATCTTGGAAATAACTGTATGGCGGCCCTTGTTGCTCAAGGCTGTTCAGAAATACGCTGGTTAGCAACAAAGGTGTGAGATACTTTTATCATCAGAATGTAATCTTTGAAGGATCAACTTATGAAGTTCACTGATTCCTTCTTTTTTTTTCCAAACAATCCGAAGATGGGAGCAAAGCCAACAACCCTTTCTGGTTTATCTGGCTCAGGTGACATCATGCTTACATGTTTTGTCAATCTTTCACGAAATAGAAATGTGGGACTGCGTCTTGGTTCTGGTGAAAAACTTGACGAAATCATGAATTCTATGAATCAGGTCTGGAGCATTCCTGCTATTGAATCAACTTTTGGATGAATGTTGCCACCATACATAGTTTTAATATATTCATCTCACTGTATAGGTTGCTGAAGGTGTATCAACTGCTGGGGCTGTCATCGCATTGGCTCAGAAGTACCATGTAAAAATGCCAGTCTTGACAGCAGTTGCACGGATAATTGACAATGAACTAACCCCAAAGAAGGCTGTTATGGAGTTAATGAATCTTCCACAGGTCATACATTTAACTTCATGTTTGATTCTGTTCTTCATGATAAACTACTTTATCCTGCAAACATAGCCATCAAAATACTTGCATTTTAATATAACATAGAAATGACTTCACGTTTAATATAGTTAAGATCTCTTTCAGATCCCTCTTTGATTTCGCTGGCTGGTAATTAACATTTGGTCATCAGTTACAAAGTAAATGTCAAGCATGCATGTTGTATAAACCATGTGAAGCGTATCTCTTGCAATGTCTTCAAGTTTTGCTCAAGGTCCTTTAATAGTTATATCCCATCGATAACATTTTCATAATACAAAAGAAATTAACACCTTTTGGCTTTTGTAGAATAGGTATTTGCATTTGTGATTACACTTTGTAAGTAAGTGTAAAAACACATTTTCAATTATTTATCTCCATCATACTAATGGTTGATCCAGCAGCCTACAATTAATCTGGATGGAAATTGATCTTGCATGTTTTTTATTAAAAAAAATCAACAATTACACTAGCAGCCAGATTCTGGACTGCTACTTGCTTTTAGCAACCGTGCTCCATTATTTCCTCTTGAGTCATAAACCTGTTAGTATGGAATGACAATTTCTGTAACTTTGGTTTACAGGTTGAGGAAGTATAACAGCAATCTAATGGAATGATTTAACTGACTCTGCCGGCCGCCTGCTGCACTCAAATTAAACTAATAATATGCTCCAAAATGGGCTTCTCCGTGTTTGATTATCTACATATTCAGAAGATGTTCTCTTCTCTCTCTTAATCCACTTGAGCTTTCAGATATGAAAATGTTATTTTTACACGAGAAAACGAAGGCGTGTGTACGCTCGTATGCACAGATAGAGAGAGGATATAGTTTATAGCACCAGAAAGAAATAGGACAAGGTCGTTGTCCGAAAGAAGACCACAGTTTTGTTTCTGATCTTTTTAGAATCATTTGATCTATAAATATGATTCTTTCTTATTTTTCTTCTGTATCGAAAACATGCAGTGAATTTTCTTCAATTTTACAGGTGCAATATCTTAGCGAAAACATTTTATTCATTCAACGAAAACTTGCTCATGGAGAACTAGAAAACATTGAAATTAATGAATGAGGAAATCACGTTATCATTATCTGATATAGGAGTATTTCTTATGCATTGTGTGTTATGTGTTGCATACAAAATTACAACAACATTTCATTTATGTTCTTTACATACCAAATGTTGCTTATAAGAGTTATACTTACAAAAGTCACACCTCATTTTTCTAAACATCTTTCCTATTTTCTATCATGAGCTCCAATAAATTTGCATGGAACAGTGCCGACCATAGTCTTGCACTCTTGCCCTTCCCCGTATGAGCCTTACCAGGAAATGAGCCAAGAGCATTGCCTTTTTTTTTTAATTGTAATCCAAAACTACAAAGAAACTTCCTCTTGAAATTTCATTCATGTTCCTTACTTACAAAACACTGCTACAGTAACAAAAGACATACCTCGAATTTCCCCTTTTGTCACCAAATCTTAAGATACCCTGCAACTTTGCTCAAATAGAGACAACAAGCAACCCAACTGAACAATGAAACACAAGCATTGCTAACACAGAGAAGGAAAAAAAAAGATGCAGTGACACATGGCAAAGCAGCCAAAAAGAAACGAAGTGTGACTAACAAAATACCAAAAAGAAAAGAAAAGGAGAGAAATCTTTCTCTTTTTACGAAAGAGAAGAAGAAAAAAAAAACCTGGAAGCAGAGGGCTGGCGGCCCGGGCCCACACCACCTGGATACCGAAACGCCCTCGGGACGATCCCAGCCGTCGGATCCCGCCTTATCCGCCCACGTGTGCGTATCGGATTCACCCAACCCCCTCCTATAAATATCCCGCCCCCCCCTCCTCCACCCCACCTCTTCCTCCTCCTCGAGGCTCGAGCTGCCACCGCCATTGGAGCGCCACGCCACGACACGCGCCACCGCCGCAGAGGAGAGAGAGAGAAAATCCGGAGGCAGGCGGCTTGGTGTGGGTTGATGGGCGCGGCGGGGGCGATGGAGAGGGAGCTCCTGGAGGCGTTCGAGGCGGCGAGGAAGGCGGCGGACGCGGTCGGGGAGGCGGCGGCGGCGGCCGGGGCCGGGGAAGGGGAGTCGCCGGAGGCCGCGCGCTGCGTCGACGCGCTGCGGAGGCTGCGCGGGGCTCGCGTCACCACCGCCGCCCTCGTCTCCACTCAGGTGAGCCACGCCGCGCCGCCCCCCTGTTTGTTGTTAAAACACCGAGCGCGGGGGCCGTAAGTAGACTGGGGATTGTAGGGAATCTGCTCTGGTTGTTGTTCCGACGGTTTGGGAGATCTCTCGGCGAGGTGTCTTGCCGAGGAAGGGGAATGTGGGTTCCTGGGAAGCGATTTTAGGGTTGTTTTTGTGGCTTCAGATTCAAATTGTTCGTATTCGCATGGATAGGATTTTCGCGTGATAGTTTTATTGCTGTATATGCGTGCGGGGTGGGGGTTGTTAGATGTGGAAAGGTTGGGGATTATGAACATTAGGATGCTTGTTTTACCCTGCTTGCAAATCTAAGGAATATTTAGAATATTCAGATTGGTTGATTTGGTAGCTATTGTACGGACGCTTCATTGAGGGGTGTTGGTTGGGTTAGATTTGGATAAGGGGTTGCAGCAATGCTATACTGGTATACTATAATGATAATTGGGATTTCCGTGATGTCTAAACATCAAGCATGGGTCTACTATACTGGTATGCTGCGCAGGCGCAAACTATTCGTAGGTACTGATTTTGCCTGAGGTGGTGGTGTCCCATGTGGTATGGGTTGCTTGTGGACCTATTGTTCTGCTTAGGAGAAAATTGAAGTATGGTGATATTGCTCAATGTTCTAGGAGTTGTTTGCGCGGGAACTATTGTTGAACGTGAGAATTGTGTGGTAGTGTGCGACACGCGAACAAGGTTGGACCCAGGCCCTTGGCTTGGGCCCCGGGACAGAATTTTCTCCGTCTTGGCATAAACTTGGCCCATATCCAAGGTTTGTTCTAAGAGGTGGCCCCACCTTGTAGTACGTATATGGCATAATGGGACGCTTATGCAGTATAATCGGTGCTTATACGACTTAAGAGGTACAAGATTGGGGAACCCGCTCCTTGTATGCGGCCTAGTATACCTTTTTCTAGAACATTGCTCAAATTACAATAGGGCGGCCTGGGCCTTGGCCCATTTCTGGGTATGCCCTTACACGTGCAGACGTACCTCGTAACACAAATGCCTCTTTTTTGGGGGGTTTGGCCCTGGGGGTATCTCATGTCCAAGTCATTCTTTTCTATTGAAAAGTAAAATATAAAAAGTATCGATGGCGAAAGGATACCATTGGATAGTTCGTAGAAAGATGTGGGTTGTCTCCTGATTTTGTCATAAAATAACTTTCTTATTGTCCACTAAAAGATGAGATGAAATTTTGGATTCTTTCCATCGCTTCATCACCAGCAAACAAAAGTTCAACAAATTTGAAGCTATGTTACTCTAACAGTAGATGACAGCAGTTGCTGAGCATTTACTTGTTGACTATCCTGCGTTCCTGCTTGCTGACACATAATCTTTAGGATTATTTCCATGTCTTCATAACCAGTAAACAAAAGTTGATTCTGAAGCACTGGTGCTCTAGCGGTAGATGACGTCCTTGCAGGACAGCAGTTGCTTAGTGTTACCGGTTGACTACGCTGCATTATTGCTTGCTCACACATAATCTTGCTTACCATTTTTAGCAAGCACCCAGTGTTTAGCTTATATTGCTCTATTTATTACCATGTCCAGTTATGTAAGATATGTAATTCCACCTATTTTCCTTCCTGTTTTGCTCAGCATGGCTAGCATGCAAATGTTTTCCTTCATAATGGTACGGTGTTTTTCTTCATGACAGCATCATATCTTCCCAGAGGGACCTTGCGTTTGATATCTAGTTATTAATGTGGAAAGCTAAAAAACTTGTACATATGCATGTGGTGTTTGGGTAATACAACTCTCTTTATGTCATATACTAAGTTACTAATACTTACACAATACTCTTGTTTGCTGATCTGTAAAATCATTCCATAAGATACACTTATGGAGTACCATTTTTCATGAACTGAAATACCTTCAGTAATTTAAGGTTTTTATAGAATTTCAAAAGCGAATTGAATTTTTAATCCCAACTCTTAGTGCTGAGCTGTTGCTTTCCATGTTCTGAAAACTGGGTGTCTAGGCTTTTATTTTCCTTTTGTAAGCTTATCTTTCATTCGATTGTTTGCAGCTCGTCCATTAGGAGATTGACTCTTCCATACTTACTCCAATTTTATCTTTTGTTCTGATATAGATCGGCAGACGTATTCGCTATCTCACCAAGCATCCTCACTCAAGCATAAAAGCAACAGCTTCAGACCTGTTAGGACACTGGAAAAAGGTTGTCATTGAAGAAGACAAGAAAAATGGGGCACTGCAGAATGGAAAATCGAGTTCTACTGTGGTAAAGGTTGAGAAGGTGGAGCCTATGAAAGTTGAAAAGGCATCACCAAGGGCTACTGTCAATAATAATAATATGGATACCAGAGTTGTGAACCACAAAGGTGGAAAGGTTGAGAAGTTTTCTAATGCTGAGCTGAGAACCCAATCTATCAAGGTTGAGAAAGTACAAAAGGTAGTTCACAAAGTATCTTCTGTTGAGAAGCCGTCTCCTGTCCAAGGTGGTCCTCCAAGACTGACATCCGTTGTTAAATGTGGTGATGCTAGTCGAGACAGAATTCGGGCGATACTTGGTGATGCCTTCTCCAGAGTTTCTGAAGAGACTAGAAAGGATGACAGGGAGGAAGTGAGGAACATCATAGAAGAAGTAAAAGCATGTGACCCATTCAGGATTGCTGTGATGGTAGAGTGTGCCTTGTTTCAGAAGCTGGGGAATTTTAATGGACCTAATAAGCAAAGGTACAGATCATTGATGTTCAATCTGAAGGATGATCACAACACAGACTTCCGGAGAAGGGTTCTTCTAGGACAAGTGCAGCCTGAGAGAATTGCTGACCTAACCCCGACAGAAATGGCTAGCGACACCAGGAAGCTTGAGAACAAGAAGATCGAGGAGAAGGCTCTGTTCGAGTGCGAGCGTGGAGGAGCACCGAAGGCCACCACTGATCAGTTCAAGTGTGGCAGGTGCGGCCAGCGCAAGACTACCTACTACCAGCTCCAGACTCGGAGCGCCGACGAGCCGATGACGACGTTCGTGACCTGCGTGAACTGCAACAATCACTGGAAGTTCTGCTAAGCTAGGCACATCCTACTGAGAAGTGTTAGTGTAGTTGACCCTGGAGTTTGACAGGCAGGTTAGTTTCGGGCCCTGCTTATCTGGGCCCGTTTCATCTTTTTTCCCCTTAAGTTAGCTTGTTCCGAATTCGATTTGTTCTAGTGCCATTTGACTGCATAATGGCCGGCCGTTGGGCTTGCATTGTCAGGCTACTGCTGTTGTACTTATCAGTCTTGTTTATTGTACCATTGGATGCAATAATGCCATAATGGTCATGCTCATGAGCTGAAGTTTTCACCTGTCGTGTAACTGCAGTTGATCTTAATTCGTCGTGTGGTGTTGTTCTTCCTTCGTACTGTTCTCTCAAGGTGATTTATTTTTGCACGTACTGTCATACCGTGATGCCTCCTTCCCAAATAAGCTCACGCAACTATACTGTCATAGAAGTGAAAATGCAATCCAATCTGGCTTTTCTCAACTGTCTATTTCGCCTCGTCTCCAGAGTTGAATGGCAAGTGGTTACGGTTGAAGAAGAATCTTCCAATTTGAGAAAGTTGCACTCCACTATTCCAGGAGCTGCAGTACTTTATCTACAAGGTGGTCCTCTTTTCTTTTTTTTTTTCTTGTGTTTTTTTTTATATCTGCAAGGTGGTGGTATTTTCTTCACCTCTTTTTATTTTTTGAGTTTTTACATCTACAAGGTGATGATATTTTCTTCTTATCTCTCTCCTCTTTTGAAGTATTTAGGTTGTGTTTAGATTCACGGGTGTAAAGTTTTGGCATGTCACACTGGATATACGGATACATATTTGAAGTATTAAACGTAGTCTAATAACAAAAACAAATTACAGATTCCGTCTGTAAACCGCGAGACGAATTTATTAAGCCTAATTAATCCGTCATTAGCAAATGTTTACTGTAGCACCACATTGTCAAATCATGGCGCAGTTAGGCTTAAAAGATTCGTCTCGTAATTTACACGCAATCTGTGTAATTAGTTATTTTTTCATCTATATTTAATACTCCCTGCATGTGTCTAAACATTCGATGTGACAGGGTATAATTTTTTTTTGCCAGGGGATCTGTTTGCCTTAAGAAAAGATGGTGCTCTTTTATAGACTCGTATTTCCCCTGTTGTTTCTTCTTAAGATCTAATGAAATACTAATTCTGTACAATGTGCTTTCCACTGTGAACTAATAACTGCAACTGGAGTATTAATTAGGTACTACTCCCTTTTGATTTTGGTCAAAGTCAATCTATTTCAAGTTTAACTAAGTTTATAGACAAATACAGTAATACTATCAAAATGACCGTGCTTCGCTACAGTGTATTAAAACTAAAAATATTTGTTTTTAACCGAAGTCTCAAATGATAGAGAGAAATATAGTAGCTCATAATAAATTATTATTCAATAGTGCGTTGCAACAGGAAAAAAACTAATGTTATGATAATGATTATAGTTATTTTATAGTTCCATGGGAGTTATAAGAGATAGTTCTGGACATAAATAATTCCCCTTCTCTCTCACCGTAAGCGACATCAGCTGTGCATTTCCCCATCGCATGCTGTGAAATAATATGATATGGTTGCATTTAATTTTTATTAAATTAACCATGATTAATAATGCTCCTTGAATTTTTTTTGGAATTTTCGGAGCTTAATTGCTAATTTTGATAATACAAACATCATTTCAGCATTTATTTAAATAAAAATGTAAATAAAACCCCCAATTTCTCTATGGGCCATTTTCAGTCCTTATATTGTCTCAGCCCGTAAATAAAGTCTAATTTACCAGCTCCAACTCCTCCTCTGATTGCGCAAACTTGCATGCCTATTTGGAGGCCCAATAGTCCGGCGGCCCGAGCGGGAGAAGCCGGAGCCGTCCAATCGAATGGATGGTCCAGATTGATCCTAACCTACATAAATATCTGCAGCCAAACCCTAACCCTAACCCTAGATTTCATTTCCCTCCCCCAACTCGCCCCGATCACCTTTCTCTTTCGAATCGAAAAGCGACGGCGGCGGCGACTCCCTCCGCGCCATCTGTTGACGAAAAAATCGAACACACCGGCCTGGGAGATCTGCTTAGCTCTTGTGCAGGTCCAAATCTTGATGAGATGCGGGCGTACCAGTCAGTTTGATCCTGCAACTAACAAGATATGCAAATAGTAGATCAAAACAGCCGATCGGCTGACAAGCCGATGGAGTAGTTCCAGCCGATAGCCGATAATAGCCGATGCCGATACCAGCCGATAGCGATAGGGTTTAAGCAATCGGCTATATGTCCAATGTAGATAATGATATAAAGGCAATCGGCTGATGATGATGTAATAAAATAACAATATAATCCAGTATAAACCAATCGGCAAATAATGATATGATAAATAAGCATCGATCCGAAAGTTAAAGCACACATCGGCTGGAGGTCCGATGTCATGAAATCCACAAGATTAGATAAACAGTGAAATCTATGTTGCGATCGGCTAAATCCAATATGTATTCAATCCTTATGAGCCGATGCAATGCCTAGATAACTCATCGGCTGAAACCCCGATGAAACCCTTATTGGCAGTCAAAAAGCAGGCTAGAGATTATGGTTCTAAGCATGACTTATTAGATCAAAATTAACTGATGCAGCACTAAGTATGAAAAGAAACACAATATCTAGACAATCAAGCCATTGACTAATTTTTCAGGGTGGTAGATGTCTAGGCTAATCTAATCTAGCAAGGCGATTTAGCCGATACCGGCATAAACCCTAAAGCGAGAGACAGCCGATAGAGCTAAATTGAGATGCTAGGACTAGATTAACATAGACATATGATAAATAGCCAGGCAAATATATCATCCAAACCAGAGTAATCCAAGAGGTCGAATGTACTGATGCAGCCTTGAACGACGCCGACGTAGATGGTACAATTGCCTGGACCGACGGGACATTGGACTTATCCCTTCGCCGGAGATCGAAGACGATGCAGCCCCGCGTCAGGTGCCAAGTTCCGCCGGAACGTAAAAACAAAAGTAGAAGTAAAAAGGGTGGCGATGCGCCGAATTGTATTGATCATAGCGATAGATTACATAGACCCCGGGTGTACATATTTATACCCATGGGTTGATACAAGTCCTTGTCGGACAAGAAAGAAACTTTCCTAAAGATAAAAGGAAAAGATAAAGTCCTTATAGGACACTAAACACACTTTCCTAAAGATAAAAGGAAATTAACAAACTATTCCTAATTAATAGATAACTTGCCATGCCGCATTCTCTTTGAACTCGGTCTCTTCTGGATAAGCTTCCTTTAGTAGATCAATTTCCTTAACCGAATATAGCAAGAATCCGACAACTAACGACTTGACAAGTCTCATCGGCTAATCTCAGGACTTCGAAGCCGATGCTGACTCTGAGCCGACGACTACTCCGGGCTTACCAAATTTCATTGTTAACACCATCTCCCCTTCCTTGCCGGCGGCCGCTCCCCCCGCCCTGTCTCGCCTCCCTCGTCCCCTCCTCCTCTCCCTCGTTGGATATGACGACGGTTGTGGCGGGTTGGCGGCGGCCGCGGACGGATCCGAGGGTGGTGGCGGCGGCTCCCTCTAGCCTCCTTCCCGCGGCAGATCGGCGGCGGCTCCCTCTAGCCTCCTTCCCGCGGCAGATCGGCGGCGGCTCCCTCCGCCCCCGTTCGCCTTCCTCCCGCAGCAGATCCGCCGGCAGTGGCGGCGGCCGCTGGCGGATCCGGCAACGGCGGCTCCCTCCGCGGCCTCTCTTCTCCCTTCGGCGGTGGTTGTAGCGTCGGCAACGGCCGCGGATGAATCCGGCGGCGGTGGCGAAGGTTGAGGGTGGCGGTGGCAACGGCCGAGGGCCGTGGTGGCGATGGCCGAGGGCGGATCCTGCGGCTTCTTCTTTTTGATGTATATTTTTGTGAAGTTTTGTGATGTATTTTGTGATTTGGTGATGATTGTGAATGATCTTTTGGGGCAAAGAGTGGTTGAGTTTTGGTTGTGCCGATTTTGGGATATGTTTCCTATATCCGATTCTGAGAGCTATTGGGATTCGGGGGCTGCGAAGGCGTCCCGCCGACGGACGAAAGCGCCTTCGTCCGTCTTGTAACAAATGGAAAAATACGAATATTTATATTAGTTAAGATTTATAGGACAACTCTATTCTACACCTCCCCCTTAAAATAGCTATTCTACAACCCCTCCTATCCTACCCAACAACTCCACCCGGCCCACCCGATCCCGCCCTCATCCTCCCTCTCTCGTCCCGCCCCTCCCTCGTCCTTTCTTCCGCGCGCCCTCCCCTCTCTCTCTCCCTGCGCCCCCTTTTTTTTCTCTCGATCGAGTCTCCCCTCGGACCTCTCGGCACCCTCTCCCTCTGATCGATCTCTCTCCCTCTCTTTTTTTTCTCTCCCGGCGCCCTCTCCCTCTCTCTTTTTTCTCTCACTGGCACGCCCTCTCTCTTCTCTGATTTTTTTTCTCTCGCCCGACGGCCTCTCTCCCTCTAATTTTTTTTATCTCACATTGGAGAGAAATTTTAAAATTAAAGTGACAAAACCAAGACTTATCCATGACCTCATGGTTCAAAGAAATTCTCTATTAACCAATTCACCCTATGACATCTTGTGATTAGAGTTTACTGCTTCAATTTAATATATCTCTATTCAAACTTTGTGAGAGCAAATCACTTATATTGTTGTGAAACTTATAATCTGTTATTATGTTCCAGTAGTAACATTATTGAAAAAGTGCAGTAACACGCCACGTTACTGCAAAAATATGTAGGTTGCTACTGCAAAAATATATAGGTTGTTACTGCAGTTTTGACAGTAACATCCTATGGAAATTGTAGTAACGCAGAACATGCATGTAGTAGTAACGGTACTTCTACAAACTACCGAATGTTGTTACTACGAGTAAGTAATCATATTACTACAATATAGTCATCTTATTATTGTGCAATTCATGCGAGACGAGGACACCAAAGAGGTGGGCGTGGAGGGAAGTGAGCAACACAAAAGATACAAAGTAGCAAACTAAACACAAGTGGATTATTTGAAATTCTAATCTTTAAACAATCGTATCTCTCGCATCACATATTATATTGTTGAACAGTTTCCACCATAATGCTTTTAAAAAAAGAGCTTTACAAAACTAGATCCGTTATCACTATATTTTGATAATGTTATAATATTGTTAATGCGAGAAAGTAACCCTGTTACTGCATGATGGTTGTCTTGTTAGTGCACAATTCATGCGAGACGAGGACAACAAAGAGGTGGACATGGGGGGGGGGAGTGAGTGGGCGGGTT